ATTCAGAATGCGGCAGCTAGACTGGTGACTGGGAGTGGCCGCCGAGACCATATAACACCGGTCCTAAAAGACCTTCATTGGCTCCCAGTACGTTTCCGAGCACAATTCAAAGTGTTGGTGCTGACCTTTAAAGCACTAAATGGCCTCAGTCCAGTAGACCTGAAGGAGTGTCTCCACCCCCATCATTCTGCCCAGACACTGAGGTCCAGCTCCAAGGGCCTTCTGGCGGTTCCCTCACTGCGAGAAGCCAAGTTACAGGGAACCAGGCAGAGGGCCTTCTCGGTGGTGGCACCTACCCTGTGGAACTCCCTCCCACCAGATGTCAAAGAGAACAACAACTACCAGACTTTTAGAAGACATCTGAAGGCAGCCCTGTTTAGCGAAGCTTTTAATGTTTGATGCATTACTGTATTTTAATATTTTGTTGGAAGCCGCCCAGCGTGGCTGGGGAAGCCCAGCCAGATGGGCAGGGTATAAATAATAAATCATCATTATTATATTATTATTTCAACCATGCCAAGCTCACCGTGTGGCTGCGGGGAAGAGACAAAGGGCAACAAATTTCCTAGAGAACCATGCAGAGGAGGAGCAGAACTGGAGAATAAAGAGAAAAGGGGAGTTGGCGGAGCAGCTGGGAGTATGAGCCTTTTTGGAGATTTTGCGGTGACTCAGGGGAGGCCAGCAGAGCGCTAGGAAAGCTCTCCCAAATGGATTTTGCAACGCTAGCTGCAAAAAACCGGGGTGCTTGCATGGCTCGACTTTTGCATCCCGGGCAGATTTTCGAAACCGCCACCACCTGCTCGTCCCTGCAAATCCTGAGATTACGCGTAATCCACCGGATAATCGGGTCAGGCAGATGTCCCGATGGAATTTGCAGCCATCATCATTATTATATATTAAATTTGTACGTTGCCCGTCATCACAACGTAAAAATACAAAATGAGCACACACGTCACAGAACGAAACAAAAACCAGCAACCCACCTCCCAGAAACCCATTTAAAAGGCCGTAAAATGTTAAATCAGCCAAAGTCCTTGTTATAAAGAAATATTTTTGCCTGGTGCCTAAAGATGTATTATTATTTTATATTATTTATTAAATTTGTGTACCGCCCTATACCCGTGGACCTCAGGGCAGTTCGCAACATAAAATCACAATATAATGTATAATGAAGGCACCAGGTGAGCCTACTTGGGGAGAGCATTCCATAAACGGGGAGCCACCATGGAAAAGGCCCTGTTCTCGTGTTGCCACCCTCCAGACCTCTTATGGAAGAGGCAAATGAGGAAGGGAGAGAGGGGAGCCCACCCCCTGGGGCACTTCCAGGCTGCGGCAAATTTCATCACAGGCTGGCAAATTCAGGTGGCACAATTTTAGTCGGTTGGGAGAAAATCCTGGGAGCACTTCTTGGGTTCGGAGGTGCAATTGTTTCTTTGCTGGAAGGGGGTTCAAAGAATTTAGGGCAGCTCCCATTCCTTCACAGGAGAGCCCCATAAACTTATTATGGGATAGCCCCATGGGAAGAGGGTGCAAGAGAGGAGTTGTGTTGCTTTTTCCACCTGTTTCCAAAGCCATCCCCCCCCCCTTTTTGTGGTGGTGGAGAGTCAATTAAAACCTTCAAGGAATGACCACAATATAGGTCTTTTATGATGTAAAGAGGTGGAAAAAATTCACTGGAGGGACCATTTCCTCTTGCCATTGTTTACTGGGAAGGGAGGAAGCAGGAACGGGGAGAGTTCAAATGGGATGAGGGCAAAACCACAGGGAGGATTCCTTTTTTTAAAAAAAGGGAGAGTTAGGGGGCAGGGCGCGAAAGGGCTATCCATTTTTCCACCAAACAGAGAAGATAAATGAACTCAACTTCCTTTGAATACGCTGCTCTTGAAAAGGCAGGATGCAAACTTTTCAGACAGCTTTTTGAGTTCCGAACTGAACAAAAGCATCCCCTGCGCTAGATTAAAAGAAAGATGCAAGCAGTGTCCATTGGAGGGCACGTTTTGTAGGGCAGCCATGGGCCTTCCCTGTGGGGCTGGACCAAGGCCTCAAAAATGCAAAGCCTTTCCGATAGAAAACTGGAACCTTCCTCCCTGACACGCTACTTTTCTGCATGCGAGGATTTTAATTTTTTTATTTATTTAAATGGAGGAAGAAGCCTTCGGTTCGTGTGATTCAGAAGTGGCGCAGTCCTTCCGTGTCTGGTGAAGCTGAAAGTTTCAGGACAGAAAAAAGGAAAGACTTATTCACATGGCGTGGGGTTAAACTGTGGAACTCACTGCCACAAGAAGCAGCAACGGCCACCAACTTGAAAGAAGAAAAGAGAAATTAATGGAGGATAAGGCTAATACTTCCCCAGGCGTATTCAAGGGCAGAAGCTCACATTCTTCCTTTGTCTCGCCCTCCTTTCCCTTCCCCACTACAAATATATATATTGTAAGCTCCTTGGGGCAAGTCCTCAATTCTCTCGCTCTACGGCAGGGCCGGAGGGACTCCTCTGTGATCTCCTCCCTGCTTCTGCAGTGAGTCCCCGCTGCCATTTGGCACTTACAAATTTTGCACTCTGAATCTCTCTAGACATCACCGTGTTTAGGAATCATGAGCAGGAGCTCTGGCCTAAGCGCATGAGAAGCGCATGAGGCCCGCTGCAAATCAGGAGGGAGCTTAGAAAGATCTGCCTTTCCGGTGGCTTTGTAAAAGGCCATTTCCCTCGATGAAGGAGCATAAATGCAAGAAATGGAAGAGTGAAAAGCCTCCATAAATATTGGGTAGCAATTCCTGCAAAAGACAGATGCACTTGCGTGCTCAGTTAAACAGCCATAAAGATACATTTGCAGGGCAAAATGTGCTTTGACTGCGGATAGGCTGGGCCACGGCCATGTTTGGGAGCTTGAGAAAGTCCCGCATCCTGAACCATGACTAAGGAGTTACTCATCCGGCTGGCTGGACTGCTGGCAAGTGGGATAGGTGCCATCTTTTGAGGCCTTGCAGGCAGCAGACACCTCAGCGTGCACGAAAAGGCTACCATAGCGGCCAGAGCTCTGCTATTGTTATCATATGACTTTATGGTCATCCCCAAAAATGTTTTGCTGTGAATATCACTGCACGCAGAAAGCTAGCAGGTCAGGGAGGTTCTAGCTTTCTAGCGGCAGGGCTCCGAGTTACTGTAACAGCTCCGTGAATATATCAAAAATAATATCCCCTTGTCATATCCTCTCACATCACACAGGACTTGTTTGCTTTTCCTGCTCAGCCTCTCCTGCACCTGCCACAGCAGCCATTTTGTATTCGGCCACAGCCATTTTGTTGTGCCACACATGTCACAGCAGCCATTTTGCATTATGAGGCAGACCCACACCAGCCGTTCCATGTTATGCCCCACATCTGCAGTGGCCCCACACCAGCCATTTTGTGACTGGCACCCACAGCGCTTCTAATTGCAAACCAATTCCAAAAAACCTGCCCCCCTTGTGACCAGGAAAGAACCTGGGATTTTCTGTGGCATCTTCCAGATGCCCTCCTGCTACCTTTTGCATAACCCTGACAACAAAGCAGAAGGCTTTAAACACAAAACGACACGTCCAGGAGCTTTGCATTTCATGGGTGAGCCTGCTCTGTGCGCCCCACGGCCCTCGGGCTTGCTTGCCAAGTCAGCTCTCGCCCTGCAAGCCTTGGGAAGCCACTTGCTCCGGCCCCCGGCTCCTTCCCCAAGGCTTTTTCAGTCCCCCGACGGCACAGGATGGCGGGCGCGCCCTCCATTCATTCAGCCTGCCGTGCGCGCCGGCGGCCCCTATTGGCGGACACGTCCCTTTGCAGGGAGAGCTCCGACTCTCCCCCCCCCATCCTTCCGCCCCTCCTCGCGCTGCCAAGGACCACGCGGGACTCCTTTTGTGCACGTCCGAAACGTGCTGGGTATTAATAGCATCTGCCTGCTGGGCGGGAGGGGTCGGTGCCTGATAGCAGCAGGCGGGGAGGGCGAAGGGGTGTCGGTTGTCAGGCGAAAGGACCAGCTGAGCGGGGAGGGGGGAGATTTGCAAATCCTCCTCCGCCTTCCCCCCCGCCCGCCCCGTCCTCTGGGCCAACATGCGCTTTAGCCTATATCCCTCCTGACCTGCTGCTGTTGCAGTTTCGGTGACGGGGCGGTGGGGGCCCGCAGGAGGTAAAGGGAAGCGGATCTTTGTACACCCCCCCCGAGGGGGCGGGGAGGCCCGCAGCAAAAGCTTGCAAAACCCAAACGGGGCCGAGGCGAGCCTAGACGGGCCCGCCAGCTCGCTAAACCCAGCCAACCCCCCAAAAAACTTCCGACGTTGCTGCGGAACCTGCATTTTGCACGCGCACATAAGCAACCTCCCGGATTTCCCCAAAACAAAAACGAAGGGGGTATATTTAAAAGCCTTCTAATTCCGCGGCTAGATCAGCCGTCGATCCCAGCACTTTCTCACCCAAAGTGGCCAACAAAGGTGCCTTCGAATACCGTCCCCCTCAAAAATCAAGGCACCGAGGCCTCTTATTCAGACGGGTAGACTGCCCCTGTCCCCGGAGGTCGCACTGAGCCGTCGTGGCTAGTAGCCTCGACCTCTACCGGCGACTGTGTCCCCCTGGCGCGCCCGTGTCGAACCGTCTTGAGCCGGTGCCCCAGTTCTGGAAGGGAACCGTGCCCCCATTTCAAACGGGCGCCCTTGGGTGATGGTGGTGTGCGGAAAAGGCGCTCTCCCGGCCGCGGCCGCTCTTTGCTCCGGGTGACCCCGAGTTGTCCTTTCCTCGCTGCTGCTGCTACACGTTTGTGTGTGTTTTTGTGTGTGTGCGCGTGTGTCCTTGCGCTGTGCGCCCCGATCTGCTGCTCCCCCCGCAAGCCAACCCACCGCATCAGGCAGCTCTTGGTGGAAATAGACGGGGGGGGGGAGAGAGAAGGGAGGGGGGTCAGATTTAAAACACGGAGGACGCTGGAAACGAAGAGAAGGCAGCACGGGAGAGGAAGGGAGACGAACGAGGAGGATTTGGGGAGAATGGACGGGAGGGGGAGAGAACGAGGCCCGGTCTCCGAGAAGATTGCGGGGAGCCCCGACCCGCCGACGCCGTCGAGGCGGGTTGGAGAGGGGGCCCATTGGGCAGCCCTGAACAGCGCCCCAGAGGAGAGAAGGGGGGACGGGACGGCCTCCGGGCGCCCCTCGATCCTTCCTCGCGGGAAATCCGACGGCCCTTCGCTGCAGAAAGTCCATTTTGCGTAAGGTGGGGAGACGGACGCGCGAAGGAAGCCATCTTGCCTCGCCCTGGGCTCCCTCGGAAGGAGCTCGGGGGGCACGAGGTGGTGGTCGCTCTTTGAGCTGGTGGGGGTTGGATGCAGGGGCCACCCATTAGATGCCTTCCCGGGGTGTGTGCAAAAAGCCAAAAGTTTGTGTGCTGGGAAAAGCCAGAGCAGCGCGTCTCCTTTTATTTTCCTGCCCAGGCAAATGCGCCATGGCGAGGTCGCCTTTGCGTCTTGAGAATCCTTTATATATATATGCGTCTTTTTAGAAACGAAGGAGTCGAGGGGTTGTTCTTGTTCCTTGCAAATTTCCGCAGGTAAGTATGCGTCCGATTTATTGTCTCTTCGCCTTCCTCCCCCGACCCTCCAAATACTATTCTCTGCACTCCGAGCTGTTTTTCCATCCCTCATATTCGTCCCGCCACCCGCACCTCCGATTAACAAGCTCTCCTTTGGGTATCGGCCGTGGTGCTAAAACGCCCCGTCTAGCTGCAATTTCACTGTGCACAGAAAAACCACGCCGCCTCGCTCACTGACTCGCATCTTTTTTAATTCTATGCTGAGGATTGGTTCCATTCTACAGATGAGCAACTGAGGATGACTGGCTAGCTTTCTGCCAAAGAGGGGGCTTGTGGGCTTGAAGGGAGTTTTCCTAAAATTGCCCCCTCCATTTCCCGTCTGTTCCCCTTTCCCAACATCCCTTACATGGCAAATGTTAATAAAAAATGCGCGTTGTATTAGCTTCCGTGGCCCCACGACTGGTTATTATTTCCATTAACTGATGCCACGGCTGGCGCTCTGCAGGTTAACTTGAAGCAAGACCCCGGATCATCTGCCCCGAGGACCTTACAATCCGAACAATCACCATGAAAGACGGGGTGACTTTTTTGGGGGGGGTCTGCTTTCAGCGCCTTTGAACCTTTTAGCTTGTGGAGGCTACAAGATGCAAAGAGAAGCTGCTCATTTTTGGGGTGCCGGTTTGGATGTGGGGAGCCAGGCGTTGAACCTCTGCCCGGGCAGCCGCGGCGCGCTCCCCGGGCAAAACTGCGCGCTCTCGCCCCCGCCATTTCTGCCGGTTTAACGTGAAGCTGGAAGAGAAGCGGGCGGGGTAAACGTCGAGCAAAGAGCAGCATTGTTTTCGGGTGGCGAAGCCACGAGGCTTGCTAAGCGCATTGTCGGATGATCGGGTTCCCAAGAGTCCCATTTTTAGCCCGGAATGCGGCATCGTGAGAGCGCAGCATAGCGAGCAGAAGAGGAACCATTTTGAAACCAAACGTCCCCTTTTCGTTGTCGTTGCTTAGCGTAGATTTTACATATGGGGGTTTCAAGCGAGGGAGAGAGGAAGCAGGCCGGTTTTCAGTCGCGAAAACAGCCCTTCGGGGACATCCCCGGTCAAAGCGCAGGGGTGGGTTCAGAGGCGCTTAGAGCGGCACGCCGTGGGAAGCCTTACAAATAACCAGCGATTGCAGAGGCGGTCCTGCAATTGTGGCTTTTTAAGTCTGGGTTCACCCCCGACTACTCCAGATCTCCATTTTTTAGGCTGGTCTTGGAAACGTGCTTAGGGAGGAAGCCCCATGGAAGCCGACGAGATTTACTTCGGCGTAAGCCCGTTTACCCTTGCGCTGCTTTTATTTGGAATGTGTCGCTTTGGAAAGGAAGTGCGCGTGGGAAGCCCTTTAAAATCGAGCTTTTACAAGTTGCTATTCCCATGCAAAAAGAGGATCTATTTGAGCTGCTGGAAAAGACAGAAAGCGGGTCTTGCGTAACAATCGCCGCTGCGCATTCTTCCAAAGGTTTCAGCTGTGCCCTGTAGCGCGAAGGGGCTGCGACCGCTGGGTGCGCACTTATTAAAACCAAATTAATGTCATTTGTTTTCATTCGTGTTCTGCTTCCGTTGCCAAACCAAGCTGGCTTTCAGCACAGTGCGCGCGCACCCCTAAAAAGGGCCCTGCGAAGTGTAGTTCGCGCCGCGCTACAACTCCCAGCGCCCTCGGCGCACTACAGCTCCCAGGATTCTTCGATACGGGAGGGGACGTGCTTTGAGCGTCGGGGGTGCAAACAGCTTGAACGGGAGTTAGCAAGCGGCCCCACTTTACCCCTCCTGCTCCCACCGCAACAGCCACCCCAGCAAGGAACCTGGAGTCGCACCCCGGCCCGTGGGGTGGGGCGTGGCAAGGTTATTTTCCAGCAGCGGAGGCTCGGCCGGGCTGCTTTCTGCAAGGAAACAAAAGAGGCACGTATGGCGTAATGGAAAAATACATGGGGTGGGGGTGGAGAGGGGGTTGTACCATCGCGGCTCGACGGGAGGGAGGGAAGGGAGAGGCTGGCAGAGCGCCTGCCGTCCAAGTTTCGAGGGGGAGGCGCGAGGAATGCGCTCCTCTCGTTCCCTCCTCCCGCAGCTCAGCCCCCTGCGCTGGGAGGCGCGCGCACGAATAAATAGGTTCGGGGGCGGAGGTTGCAGCTGCTTGCTGGGAGCGCGCGCGCGTTGGCTTCGTGGAGGAATCCACACGCCGGTTGTGCGGAGGGAAGATGCGCAGAGGGAGATATGGAGCTGGCAATCCCCACCGCACGTTAGGATTTACGGGGTGGGGGCAGGCATGGAAGCACCCCAGAAAGTGGGATCCAGATTTTCGGCCCAGGTTCCTGGTGCAGGCGCTGCTGGGGTGGTTTGGAGAGGCTCCGCTCTCCAATCCTGCCACCTCGGTTGTCCCATCTGTAAAATGGGACCAAAAGAGAAGGCGACTTCACAGAGCTTTGGTGAGAAAGTGGGAGGTAGTGGGAGGGGCAGGAAGCCTCCCCCCCTTTTTTAATGGCCACAGGGTGGTAGATAATATCATGAATTATTGGAGGGTGCTGTTGAGAGTCTTTCCTTCACCGGTTATTTCTGCACTGTTGAACGCAAGAGGTACTTCCTGCTGGAGCCTCCTCAAGCTCACAATCCCCCCCCCCAATGAAAAAGAAAGAACCCAACTGCCAAGAGATAGTTGGCCAACTGTGAACACAGCACACGTGGAACCTCTTTGTCCAGAGGCAGTCTGCCAGCTTTGGCAGGAGGTGCCCGTCCAAATTCCCTGCTAGCGCTCTTCCCAGAGGTATCCGTCCGCTGTTGCAAACAGGATATGGGACCAGGGGGACCCCTGAGCTAGCCCAGCTGAGCTATGGGGAGGGGGAGAGTGCATTACCCCACACGTGACTAGGCACTTGCAATACACACAGATGTTGGCAACAAATGACAGGTGTGGGTGGGAGCACTTTCGGGGAGAGGCGGGGGAGGAAAATTTGGCTGAGACCAGAAGGGATATGGAAATCTGCGCGGGTGACTCACCTGCTCAACCTGGAAAATACTACAGCAGCAGGAAGGGGGGAGTGGTTCCCATTGCGCTTGGCTGCACTTCAGATTTCCCCTAGCTGGAACTCTTTGCATTGTGGTGTTGTGTGTGTGTGTGTGTGTGTGTGTGTGTGTGCATGCATGCTTGCGGGTTTCAGTGCACAAAGCTTTAAAAATAACCAGAAGCTCACCAAATCGGGTGGTTTAACTTTGGCGTTACCTGCTTAGGAAAGAAACTATTATTATTATGATTATTATTATTATATTTATTAAATTTATATACCGCCCTATCCTCGCAGGTATCATGGCGGTATACAGAATAAAATCAAAATATAAAACCAGAAAATCCATAATCAAAATAAAAACAACAGCAACCCAATTACACCTCAATTTTATTTTATTTTAAGGGCATAGGAGTTAGGACTAGATGAATTGGGGGTATTCTGGGGGTTGGGTAAGAAGTACAAAAGAGGGACGCGGATGGCGCTGTGGGTTAAACCACAGAGCCTAGGACTTGCCGATCAGAAGGTCGGCGGTTCGAATCCCCGGGACGGGGTGAGCTCCCATTGCTCGGTCCCTGCTCCTGCCAACCTAGCAGTTCGAAAGCATGTCAAAGTGCAAGTGGATAAATAGGTACTGCTCCGGCGGGAAGGTAAACAGCGTTTCCATGCGCTGCTCTGGTTCGCCAGAAGCGGCTTAGTCATGCTGGCCACATGACCTGGAAGCTGTCTGCGGACAAACGCCAGCTCCCTCGGCCTATAGAGCGAGATGAGTGCCACAACCCCAGAGTTGTCCGCGACTGGACCTAATGGTCAGGGGTCCCTTTACCCTTTACCTTAAGGAGTACAAAACCAGGAAGGGTGTTTTTTAGTCTCTCTGTCTTTCTCCACCCTCTTTTCAAATGATTTTGGGCGGGCAGAGATTGGGAGCAAGGCAAGGGCGGGGAGAGAGAGCGTGGGCCGAAAGCCCCCAGTGGAAACTAGAGGTGCGGGGGGGGGAGAGAACAGAAGGTGCCCCCCTTATTCCTGGGGAACAGCCCTTGCAGCATCCTTCCTGGGCATCTCAGGGTAGGGCTGCAAATCTACCTCCTGTGGAATCCTGGAGAGCCTCTGCCAGTCAGAGTAGACAAAACTAGGACTTAGATGGACCCGGGGGTTGATGTTTCTTAGTGGGCAGAGAAAAGATCCCAGGACAAAAATCATGGGGTAACTTTGGTGGCATCAGCAGAACGACTTCTCTGCTACCCTTCCCTATCTTGCTTCCTCCTTTCTCTCGCCGGCTTAAATTTAGATTGTAAGCTCCTCCGGGCGGGGACCTTTCTGTTCCCCTTTTGCTCACAACGCTCTGCAGGCGCCGGTGAGATGAAACCCAGCGTTTCCCCAGAAGCCTGTGAGGCAGGTGGAGGCCTTCCGCTTGTGGGGCTGATACAAATATCCTCTCTGTAAGGCGCTCGGGGTTAAGCGGAGACAGAAGGAGCTGGCGCCACAAAATGCCAAGAAAGCATGCGCTTGTTGTGCACTGACTGTGCAAAACGGCCGGGGAAGTCGGATTGGAGTTGGAGGTTCTCTCCCCCCTCTACTGAAGCCTTGCAGGGGCTTCTGCCCCCCCCCCCCGTCCTCTTGACGGCTGGAGCCGTGGGGAAAGGTCAGTTTCCCTGACCTCCAGGCCGCCAGCCGATCTTGCAGCAACCCCACTGACCGGACAAAATCAGCCACAAGGGACGCTCTGTGACCTGCGGCGTCCGAAGCCTGTGGGAAAGAAGCAGTTTTGTGTGGACATAAATGGGCTGCTAAATCAAATTCCTGCTGCCTGCCCGCCTCTGCTGTGGGCTGACTACTTATCCCAGCATGCTGCGCTTTCCTGTGAGTCATATGGCAGACCATTTTGAGATGGCCCAGCCCCTGGGTGTCCATTTCATGCACTCAGACCATAGCAATTGCCTGTGGCAGAAGGCCGGCATGTTTTTTGTCCTTTCGAGTTGAAGCCCATCCCTGCATGGCTGCTTTCCTTTTGACATCCTGATGCCTTGGATAGGGAAGCTTTTGAACGTTTAATGTTTGTTTGTTTGTTTTGTTTTAATTTTTTTTATTCATTTTTCATTTTCGTTCATTACATACATCTCAAATTCTTAACATTTACTATATTTTCCTCCCTCCCTCCCTCCCTTCCAAGGCTTCCCCCAACTTGCGTTTCCGGTTTGTTTTTATTTTCACCCGCTTTGCTATCTCTCAACAGAAAAAGTTATTAATAACATAACATCAAACCTTAAAAACATACAAATAAAATTAAATACGTCATCTTATTTCACTATCTTTCGAACATTTTCTGATGCTGATAATGTGGATGTTTATTTAAATCCTGCCATCAAGTCTATTGACTGTCTTTGTTTCTGCAAATATAATATGAATGGTTCCCAATCTTTTTCAAAGTCTCTGTTGTCTTTTTCTCTTAGTCTTTCTGTCATTTTTGCCAGTTCTGCATAGTTCATAAACTTCTCTCGCCATTGTTCTTTAGTTGGTATTTCTCCAGTCTTCCAGTTTTGTGCAATCAACATTCTTGCTGCTGTAGTGGCATACATAAATAAAGTCCTCATTTCTTTTGGTATGTCTTGACCTAAAATACCTAACAAAAAGGCTTCTGGTTTTTTTTTACAAAAGTTATTTTTAACATTTTCTTCAATTCAATTTAACGTTTAATGTTTTATTATGTTTTATATATAGTATATATTTTTATATGTTGGAAGCTGCCCAGAGTGACTGGGGCAACCCAGTCAGATGCACAAGGTGCAAATAAATTATTATTATTATTATTATTATTATTATTATTAGACAGCTGACACGGTTATCACTGCGGCTTCATGAATTCCTTGGTTGCAGATCTTCGTGGCAAACAGGCTGCAGTCTGTGTTTGCTGTCTCCCTCTTTTTTTAATCTCAGCTTCCTCCCCTTTTAAAATGTACCGTATTTTTTGCTCTATAAGACTCACTTTTTCCCTCCTAAAAAGTAAGGGGAAATGTGTGTGCGTCTTATGGAGTGAATGCAGGCTGGACAGCTATCACAGAAGCCAGAACAGCAAGAGGGTTTGCTGCTTTCGCTGTGCAGCGATCCCTCTTGCTGTTCTGGCTTCTGAGATTCGGAATATTTTTTTTTCTTGTTTTCCTCCTCCAAAAACTAGGTGCATCTTGTGGTCTGGTGCGTCTTATAGAGCGAAAAATACGGTAATAATTTCCCCCTCTTAAAATATACCCAAGGCTTGGCAGAATTTGGAGATTACCGGCAGCTGACCCAATTGCCCTTCCTGCTGGACAAAGATGCAATCTGGGCTTTTCGCGGAACGCTCTGTCCCTCTTGGAAAACTTGCCCTCTCCTGCCTCAGCGCCCCCAATCCTGTCCAGCAAATGATGTCGTTTGACCTACTTTGTGTCTCCCTTCTCATGGTTCCCCGCTTGACGTCAAAGAGGCAGCGTGACCCATTGGAGGAGGGCTGCCCACAACTTGCTTGCGGGGAATGTGGCCTTAGAACTTATTTGTGGCTTTCAAGAATTGGAAATATCGGCTTTGGAAATACCAAACACACAAACGTAAAACTTGTGTTGGTTTCCCCACGTTGACTCACCGTTGGCTTACTTATGGGCTCTTTGGTTTGGAGAAGGGGCTGAGAAGCCCCCCCTCCCAGAACTACAAGCCCCAGGATTCCTGGGGAGACGGGAGGCGTGTCCACACCCTCACAGTGCAGTAACAGAATCACAGAACTGTAGGTTTGGAAGGCACCCTGGGGGTCATCCAGACCAACCCCCTTCAACGCAGTCCTAAACATCTGCTCCAGTGGTACCGCTTCCCAGGGGGGGATTACTTGGGGGGCTCTTAAGAAGCAAGAGGGCAGCAGGGGGGCATTAGGTGCAAATGATTCTTAGACTTTGAAAAGTGGGTAGCAATGGATCACGTTCATCAGGTACACTGAATTGATTGAATTAAATTGTTTTAGATGGGTTTCGGATAAGGAAGAACTTTCTGACCGTAAGAGTTGTTTGTCAGTGGACATCCCTCCGAAGGTGCTGGACTCTCCTTCCTTGGAGGTTTCTAATACAAAGGTTGGACGGCCCTCTGTCATAAAATCATGGAGGGGACCCCAAAGGCCATCTAGTCCAACCCCTGCAATGCAGGAATCTCAGCTGAAGCATCCATGACAGATGGCCACCAAACCTCTGCTTAAAAACCTCCAAGGAAGGAGAACCCACAACCTCCCGAGGGAGACGGTTCCACTTCCAAACAGCTCTTCCTTTTCAAAAAGTCCTTCCTGATGTTGAGTCGGAATCTCCTTTCTTGTGACTTGAAGCCATGGGTTCGAGTCCTACCCTCCAGAGCAAGAAGACAAGCTTGTTGCCATGGGGCAGCCGACTTCAGATATTTGAAGATGGCTATCATATCATATCATGCAGGGACGCTGGTGGCGCTGTGGGTTAAACCACAGAGCCTAGGGCTTGCCGATCAGAAGGTCGGCGGTTCGAATCCCCGCGATGGGGTGAACTCCCGTTGCTCAGACCCTGCTCCTGCCAACCTAGCGGTTCGAAAGCACGTCAAAGTGCAAGTAGATAAATAGGTACCGCTCTGGCGGGAAGGTAAACGGCATTTCCGTGCGCTGCTCTGGTTCGCCAGAAGCGGCTTAGTCATGCTGGCCACATGACCCGGAAGCTGTACGCCGGCTCCCTCGGTCAATAAAGCGAGATGAGCGCCGCAACCCCAGAGTCGGCCACGACTGGACCTAATGGTCAGGGGTCCCTTTACCTTTACCTTTATCCTACCTATCATATCTGCCAGGGATTCCTTAGCCGTGATTGCCGCGTTTCTGGGGGTTGGACTAGATGCCCCTGGCGGTCCCAGCCCTAGAATCCTAGATGCTGGAGTATAGAAGCCCTTGGCTGGACCCGGCTTCTTGCGTCAAGAGTTGTTCTGGTGACAGCTGTGCCCAGGCACTTGAAGACCTCGGGTGTGTGGCATCTGGACGGTTCTTTGGGCGGGGGCCTTTGGCAAAGAGCAGCCTCCGTAATGCACCAAGGCATAAGCTTGCGTCTATTTATACCCTGCAAAGTAATTGCTGGTGCTTTCCAGTCCTTAATCCGCCTTGTGCAACTGGCTTCCTCCCTGCCGAGAGAGGGAGAGCGGCTGCGTGTTCACCGTCACACACTTTTGTCCTGCGTGTGCAGCCGACGGGGCTTGAGACACGTCGTCCCGGGAGATCTCTCTAGAACCATCCCATTTATGGCGTGGCTTTGGAGTTAAACCCGGGGCAAGACACGCCCCGACTGGAAATCGAGGGATTCCCCAGAAAGGAGCAGGCCGTTCCTCATTCCTTAAAAGTGGGTCACTCTGTTCTGCAGGAGTTTCCCTCGGATGTCCCTAAAATATCAGAAACTCTGTCTGCGGAAACTCAGAGCTGCCGCAGTTTTGCAGAACGGCATCCCTGAAAAGGCATCTGCGTCCCAACAAGCTTTCCCACTGCCTTGGGTGTTTTATTCTGTATTTATTCCTGGTTTTTGGCACTATTTGTAGTCATTTTTATACACATCGTCTTGATACATATGCCTGCAGAAGGCAATGAATAAAACTAAATGAATAAGCAAGGAGAGTCCAACAGATTGGCTACATATGAACAAATTGCACTTCGACGCAAACTGTTGTTGTTTAGTCGTTTAGTCGTGTCCACCTCTTTGTGACCCCCTGGACCAGAGCACGCCAGGCACTCCTGTCTTCCACTGCCTCCCGCAGTTTGGTCAGACTCATGTTTGTAGCTTCGAGAACACTGTCCCACCATCTCGTCCTCTGTCGTCCCCTTCTCCTTGTGCCCTCCATCTTTCCCAACATCAGGGTCTTTTCCAGGGAGTCTTCTCTTCTCAGGAGGTGGCCAAAGTATTGGAGCCTAGGCTTCAGGATCTGTCCTTCCAGTGAGCACTCAGGGCTGATTTCCTTCAGAATGGAGAGGTTGGATCTTCTTGCAGTCCACGGGACTCTCAAGAGTCTCCTCCAGCACCATAATTCAAAAGCATCAATTCTTCGGCGATCAGCCTTCTTTATGGTCCAGCTCTCACTTCCATACATCACTACTGGGAAAACCATAGCTTTTATTATACGGACCTTTGTTGGCAAGGTGATGTCTCTGCTTTTTTGCGTCTCTCGATGCAAATTAAGAATGGATAAATATGAAGAAATCTGGAATGAATATTTAAGCGATAAGGCGGGTATTGGGTGGAGGAGAGAGAGGTGGGAAAATATTGTTGAAATGATGCAGTCATAGGTATATCAGTGCATTTAAATCTGAATTGTCAAATTGTTGTTATTATTATGGTTTTTGTTGTAGTGTCTTTTGCGGTGGTTGTTTGTATCGGGGGAAAAATGATTAAATAAATTTTAAAAAGCAAGGGGAGTCCAAGCTTGATTCATTCCAAATCATAAAAATTGGAGAGTTGGAAGGGGCTCCCCAAAGCTCATCTAGTCCAGCCCTGTGCAAGGCAGGGGTCAGACCCTTCTGATGGTCTGTTGACCTCAGCTGTCATGCTGCTTACCAGCATGGGCAGAGAGGGAGGGGGGTTGCGTGTATAGAGACGCAGGTTTAACACAACACGAGGGTCAAGATTTCAATTTATGTGTCACACTAAATGCTCTGATTTGCCTCCCAGCCGCTATAGGGAAGAACCTGAGAATGTAAGAAGAGGCGGCTGGATCGGGCCATCTTGTACGGAATCCTGTTCCCACAATGGCCAACAAGGTGCCCATGTAATAAATGGAAATCTGCCCTTCTTCCCTTATGGGGGACACAAGAGCCCCTATATAGTCCTTTACAGGTTCTCTATCGGTTGGAGAGAATAACAGAGGCCAACCAGAGAATATTGAGAAGCAAAGAAGCTCATAAGCCTGATCTTTATTGATCTGTTGCAACAGGGTGCTCCCCTCACACGCAGGAAAGGAGGAGGACCCAGAACCAAGATGTGGCCGCCCTTATATAGACATTTTAAATCCCCTGCCCTGGAGCTCCAGACCACCCCTCCATACATCATACATACATCACCGAAGGGGTGTAAGCCAAGACCACCCCCCACAAACATCATACCTACATCACAGCAAAGGCGGTCTACAGCAGAAATCTGAGTGCGTTGTTTTATCTCGTCTGACAGGTTACCTGTTAATGCTCACTTGATTGGATTGCCTGGGGAGCCTGGCCAGTTTTTTGTAATGATAAATACTTAGTTCCTGGGCCAGGTCACAGGCTCACACCCTATTCAAACACATACATACCCTTAAGACAGGATTTGTGAAGGAAAAGACAATAGGGAGGCTTTTCCATTTTCCTTTGACCTTGCAGAGAAAACATTTGGTCAGTTTGTGAGTCAAAAATGGTTTCAGGTCGGTCTTCCTGTGCTGATCTATGTACATGCTTGGTTGGTACATTTATGAACATTGATTATATGAATCGGTGAAGGGGCAACATAGACACAGCGCCCCGGGAAGCTTGGCTCAGATTCTGAAGGCAGTGCGAGAGTGAGCCAGTTAGAACTGCAACAGAAAATTGCAGCGCAGAGCCAGACATCTTTCTGTAGGCTCCGTTCCTTTTCCCCACCCCTCTCTCCGCCCCTGCGAAGGTCAGGCAGCATCCTGGGGCCACGGGGCATACCTTCTTTTGCACTTCTGCAAACCTCTGGGTTTCGGGGTTGGGCTAGATGACCCGTGGTGCCCCTTCCAACTCTACAATTCTGTAGTTGTACGATTGCCCTCTGGGTAGTGAGTGCTGCTGTTTTGTGCCCAAAAGCAGCATGCGGAAGAAGCCAAGTTTGAGTCTCAGCCTTTCCAGGTCAGGCTGAAATCCAGCCTGAAACCCCAGGGAGAACTGAACTAATTTAGCATTGCATTCATACTGCAATTTGCATGCAGAAGGTTTCAGGTTCAATCCCCAGCCTTTCTACCCTAGAACGCTGCTGCCAGCCAGTGTAGGCTCTATGGGCCAGTGGGTCTTCCCACCCATATTCCCCTCCCCACCTGCTTGGCATTGTACCCTGCAGGCGATGGTGAAACTTGGCCGCCTGATCATTGGGTGCTCTCTCCAAACAAGAGGGGCAGGGAAGGGGTTTTCCCAAGCAGGAACTGGCCAAGGATTGCCATAAAAGGTCCTGGTAGAGGCGAAGGGGCGGAGACAAGGACGACAGTGGGCGGGGCCTGGAGGGGAGTCCCTAAAACGGGCAGGCCTTCGACACCTCTTGTCTGCAAGGAGGGAAGAGAGGGGCAGAGAGGGAGGGGCCTCCTTCCAGGACCACCGAAGCAGCATTCCCCAACCCGGCGCCCCCGAATGTTTTGCACTGTGGTTTCCATTTACAACTTTTATCACCGACCACAGTGTGTTTTGCAAACCTCCAGTGACTCAACGTGTGATTCTCCTCCTGCCTGACCCACACGTCTTTCCTTTTCCAAAACCGATTATTTGCATTGTCGATACCGATGGCTTTTGATCTGATGTAAATCCCGACCCACGGCTCCCTATTTATTTCCTAACACCGAGGGTCAAGAAGATGATGTAAACAACGTCTGAACACTGCTGTGGTTACAGTTATGGTTTTATATTTTCCTTGGCTTGGCCGTCTTATTGGCTTCCCACTCTGGGATGCTCAAAAAGTAATAAATGAGCATATGTTAAAATGCATTGGGTTGTTGTTGTTTTTTGTTTTAAACAAACCCTTTTGCATAAATTCCAAACTCTGTGTGGGAACAGGCTACATGCACTCCTTGGAGGGAGGGTTAGAGGGGCGAGCACTCTGCATATGCTCAGAGGCACTGTTAAATGCCTTGCTTCACAACATGCTCCGTTGCAGTGTTCAAACCTTGAAGCAAAGAGTCTTTGCAGCAGCTCCCCCCCCCACTCCATTTCTCCTCCCATGGAGAGCAGCCCCCCTTGGGGGGAAGGGGAGGATCAGTGCTGGGGGGCTGCCCCCTCGCTCCATTGTGCAGCCCCCAGAGAGCTCTGGCTGGAAAACAAAAGGTGCTTTTGTGGGGCGTTTTACGGCCCAGCTGGTGACTTTTTACCACCTCGGCTTTCACCCCAGATTCAAAGGACGCAGATGCACTTTAAATCTGGAGGAATGATGGGGGGGGGGCAAAGCCATTTAGCAGGAAGGCCCAGGGGTCTTTGATGGCTGCCGTAAATCTAGCCCCTTTGCCCTGGTCCCCTTCCTTCTGCACCTCTGGGGTATCTTGCTGCCTGCCCCCCTCCTCCATATCCAACTCCCCCAAATGCCTCTTTCCAGATTATTGGTTTCTTCGGCTGCCAACCAGATGCCACAACAAAGCTGCTTCTCTTATTTATTTTTCTCCAAGGAGCCGGTCGTCTTTCGCATTCAGAACTACGTCCAGATTTTTGGGGTGTCCTGGTTTTTTTACTTTTTGAAATACGGCAACCCTAGGTTCGGATAATAAAGGGTGCCTTTGCCCAAGGTCACCCAGTGGGCATCATTCCTCCCCCATATTGGGCATCTGAAAGACGCTTCTCTAGTACAAATTCAACACATGTGTCCATGTTCAAAAGCAGTGTAGTCATGTATCCTTTATAAGACCCACCTCCGGCCAGAGAGGATTGCCACTTTGCACACGCTCAGATCATTGGTTCTTGGCACCTGTCTAAACGGCACTTTTCTTCTGAAAAAGGAATACCTTGGGACAGGTGCACTCTGTATATGCTCAGAAGCACCAGCAGGCCGTGTTTTGACAAACGAAAAGCTGGCAGCTCTGCGGGGTTCTTCCTGCGCATAAAGAAACATGTAGCATTTACTCATGCATTGTGGGAGGTCCGAACGTCATTCCCCAAAGAACCACATCTATTGTGTGGTCATCGCTGTGTTCCATCACTGGGAAAATATGTCATCTCCCAAACATGGGCCATGAGATGGAGCAACCTATCGGGTAGTGCTTGTGACGTCCTTCATGATAAACCAACCCCCTAATGCCTGTTGTTGTTTTTTAATATACTTTTTAAAAAAAGTTTATAAATATATTTTTTAAAATATCATTTACCACTCCAGCACAGATGTTAGCTAGAATATTACTCACTTTAAAGAAGACTTGGAAGCTCACATCTGTCTGTAAACACACATTGGTCCCCAAGCCAAACCATGACTCACGGCGCAGAGGCGACATTCGAACCCAGCTCTCCCGGACAGATCAAAGCCTATCCTTTTATCCAGTAGATCAAAAGCTGGTCACATCCCATCTACGGGATGCAAATGATTCATCTCTCTTCCCCTGGAGACCTGGGCGTGATGGCACTGGGCGTCCCCTGGTGGCCGTGGGTGGTGGCGCCCGTCTGCTGAAGCATCCTGCTCTAACCGAAGGCTTGCGCCGTTGGCTTGCGATGAATGGAGCGGGAGCGCCATCTGCTGGTCAATGTGGAAATCACACGGGCTGCGTTTCCCCAGCTCTCGCGCAACCAGTGGGGTTTGGTGTTGGTTTTTTTTTTTTTTGGCAAGGAGAAATGAGCTTTTCGTGTCGTTTTGGTGCCTCTGAATGGGAAGAGAGAGCGACTGCCAATCCCCACTCGGGGAACTGTTGCTCTGTGAGGGGAATAGGGGGTCTCTGAACTCTCAGCACCCTTAGCAAACTAGAGTTCCCGGGGGGTGGGTGGGATGCTGTGACTATTCAAAAGAGCCCAACGCCCCGCTTGAAATGTATAGTGCACCCCAGTCCGGCTACGATCCTAAGCACACTTCCTCGAGAGGCAGTGTGGCGCAGTGGTTAGAGTGTCGGTCTAGGACCTGGGTTCAAATCCCCACTCAGCCGCATGAAACTCACTGGGTGACCTTGGGTGGAGAATCATGTAAGTTGACTCAAGCTCCTTGTAGGAAGAGGTGGAATATAAAGGAACCCCCAAATTTGGAATCCCCTCCAGACAGATGCCAAAGTTTTGCACTTGTTTTGTACCCCCCTCCGGCTGAGTAACTGATATACCCTGTACTTGATATACCATGAATAACCATAGTTTAGAGGTCCCAGGCCCTAAGACTATCCTCCACCAGGGCCAGGGCCTTCTTAGTGATGGCTCCGACCTGGTGGAATGCTCTGTCCCATGAGACCAGGGCCCTGCAGGATTTAACCTCCTTCCGTTGGGCCTGTAAGACAGACCTATTCCGCCTGGCCTTTAATTTGAATTCAGCCTCATCTTTTATTTCCCTTCTCTTCCCTCCCCCTCCCCTTTTATGAAGATCACCTGCTCTGAGACCCCACAGCTAATTCTCCCCTGGCCTCCTCGCTGGCCCAAGTAGGACCAATTCAGCCAGCTTGCCCTGAGGATTATCTAATGCTTATTTCCCCTAAATTGATTTTTGATTTTTATTGTTATTCATGTTTTTATACTGTATTCTATGCTGCTTTTACAATTAAGTGTTTTAAATTTGTTGTTGGCCACCCTGAGCCCGGTTTTTGAACCGGGAAGGGCAGGGTATAAATAAAAAATTATTATTATTATTATTATTATTATTATTATACCAGGGGCCCCAGGCATCCCCCCTCAAAGCCAGCATTGGCCAAATTCCGGGGTTTGTATTTAATAAGGCTGATCTTAGTTCTTAAACTAACCCATGGGCTAGCAGTGAAAGGAACAGAACCAAACTGGAGGAGTCCTAAATGCCGATCACCCATCACCATGTCTTTTTTTCCCCATTTCACAGATCAGGGATCCCAGGCTGAGCGAGACTTGCCGGAGGCCCAACTCTGCAAGCTGACTGATCCACTTCTTCCACCAAACAGCAAATCCACCGAGTGCATTTGCTCGAATGAATCTAAGCCAATTTCACTATCACAGCTGCTCATGAAAAACCCTTAAAATTGGTGCCGGCAGCTGGTTGCCTCGGTCCTCTCTCTCTGTGTGTGTCTAGTGATCTCTAGATAAGGTGGGCATTGCCAAAAAATGAATAAAAGCATGATTTTTTAAAAAAAGATTTAAAAATGCGCACAAATTTTGAACAGGTTATGTGCATATCTACGTAAAAGTTGGAGATGGTGGTTCATACGCACAGATTCAAATTCAGAAATAATAGTTATAATTCTAATAGATGGGGCACAATTGTGGTGAAGGCTTGCTTGTCTGGCTAGGAGCTGCCTGTTGACAGCCACTAACTGTTCAGGGCAACTGGTCAGCCAAGATCAGAGTTTCATGGTCGATATTTAAAGTTTAGTCGGTGGAGTGGGAGACTCAGGGCTGTGGGTTCGAGACCCACCTTGGGCAAAAAATCCCTGCATTGCAAGAGGGTTGGGTTGGGTCCCTTCCAACTTGACAATTCTGTGATTCTAAGTAACCAACGCGGGATGCGGGTGGCGCTGTGGGTTAAACCACAGAGCCTAGGACTTGCCGATCAGAAGGTCAATGGTTCGAATCCCCGCGATGGGGTGAGCTCCCGTTGCTTGGTCCCTGCTCCTGCCAACCTAGCAGTTCGAAAGCACGTCAAAGTGCAAGTAGATAAATAGGTACCACTTCGGTGGGAAGGTAAATGTTGTTTCCGTGCGCTGCACTGGTTCACCAGAAGCGGCTTAGTCCTGCTGGCCACATGACCCGGAAGCTGTACGCCGGCTCCCTCGGCCAGTAAAGCGAGATGAGTGCCGCAACCCCAGAGAAGAAGAAGAAGAAGAGGGGTTTGGATTTGATATCCCGCCTTTCACTCCCCTTCAGGAGTCTCAAAGCGGCTAACATTCTCCTTTCCCTTCCTCCCCCACAACAAACACTCTGTGAGGTGAGTGGGGCTGAGAGACTTCAAAGAAGTGTGACTGGCCCAAGGTCACCCAGCAGCTGCATGTGGAGGAGCGGGGAAGCGAACCCGGTTCCCCAGATTACGAGACTACCGCTCTTAACCACTACACCACACTGGCTCACAACTGGACCTAATGGTCAGGGGTCCCTTTACCTTTACCTTTTAAGTATCCAAACCACCTGGTTTAGACTGAAGCCAGATCTTCTGAGGAGACCCGGCTGATCGTTCCTACAGCCAAGAGATCGTCCCTTGGGTGGCTTCCAGATTACCTGTTTGGTCCTGCTTTGTTTGTGGAGAGGTTAGATAATGTTGCATCAAAGCTAAAGTCAAATGAATTAATATGTTATCCAAGCTTTCCAGCATGGTGAGTCTTCATTTGCTCACTTTCGTAGGAGGCTGAGTTTTATTTATGATATCTAGAGCCCGATTCCAGCAATTCCCCATTTTCCCCTCTGCTTTTCAGACCAGTCCTACCAAGACGCTCATGACTACTGATGGACCAATGCTCTCAGTATCAGGGACTTCATGTGTTTGATGGACAGGAGGAGGATTTTACACCATATCTACAAGATCAAGGGTCCAGATCAAGGGAAGTCATATTCTGCTCTATTCTGCCTTGGTCTGACCCTGCTCGGAGTCCTGAGTCCAGTTCTGGGCACCCCAGCGGAAGAAGGAGATGGACAAGCAGAGGAGGGCAGCCAAGATTATGAAGGGTCTGGAAACCAAGCCTGATGAGGAACGGTTGAAGGAGTTGGGTAAGTTTAACCCGGAGAAGAGGAGACCGAGAGGAGATATTATAAAAGGTAAAGGTAAAATACCCTGACCATTAAGTCCAGTTGCAGATAACTCTGGGGTTGCGGCGCTCATCTCGCTTTACTGGCCAAGGGAGCCAGCGTACAGCTTCCGGGTCATGTGGCCAGCAGGACTAAGCCACTTCTGGCGAACCAGAGCAGCTCACGGAAACGCCGTTTACCTTCCCGCCGGAGTGGTACCTATTTATCTACTTGCACTTTGACGTGCTTTTGAACTGATAGGTTGTCAGGAGCAGGGACCAAGCAACGGGAGCTCACCCCGTCGCGGGGATTCGAACCACCGACCTTCTGATCGGCAAGCCCTAGGCTCTGTGGTTTAACCCACAGCGCCATCCACAGCCCTAGGAGATATGCTAGTCATCTTCAAATATCTCAAGGGCTGTCACACAGATGATGAAGCAAGCTTGTTTTCTCTCTGGAGGGTAGGACTCGAACCCAGGGCTTCAAGTTACAAGAAAGGAGATTCTGACTAGACATGTGTCAGAGATTTTTGTAGCTGTAACTGCATTGAGGGGGTTGGACTAGATGACCCTCCAATTCTACAATTCTGAGAAGCAGAAGAATAGGCTACTGTCGTTCTCTGCACTAGGCATGCAGACAAGTGTCCTACTTTACAGAGCACAGTCCTCTGCTTCAAGGTGTCCTCGATTAGATGGGGTTGTGTGGCCCCAATTCAGCTTAAATTAAAAAATTATCATCGTTAAGGAGTCCTAAGTAGGGGAACCTTGTCATTGCCCACCCACCATGAAATAGACCTAGCAGTCACACACAGATCACCTGGTCTTCCCCACAATGCCTTGCGCTTCCGTTTAAATCACAGCAATTATTTCTACCCATATAAATTAGCATATGCAGATTTAATACAAATCTGAACCAGTTTTGGTCGGTGTTCCCCTGAAGTGGTTTCTCGTTTTACCTGCTTTGGGTTAATTGCTCCCAGATTCCACGCAGATGCAGCCAAGTCCAGCGCCACCTAGTGACTCAAGCGTGGAATGACACTTATCCACCCATTGCCGGCGGTTGCTTAGCAACGTGAGCCCTTTACTGACAGTCATTTAGGCCGCCGTTTGCCAACCTGGTGCCCTCCTGCAGATGCTTTGGACTACAACTCCCATTAGCCCCAGCCAAGCTTGACCCGGGGGCCTTGTTTCTGAAGGCAGATTTAGATCTAATGAGATCACAGGGTGGGGAGCAATCTTTTTTGGGGGGTGTGATGAGAAGAAGCCATTTTTTTTCTTCTGAGGGCCACTTTCCCTCATGGGCAAAAATACAGGGTGTATAGAGCAGAGCTGGTGAGGGTTTTCGCCTGGTGAGAGTCGGAAGGGCCAGGTTGAGAGAACTGGAGGGCCGCATTCGTCTCTTGGGGCCGAGATGCCCCACATTCCCCTTGCAGGAAAACTGTCAGGGCTGCCGGCCGCCAGTGAGTGGGGCTGCAGCCTGCGATGGGTGGACCCAGAGCCAAAGGTGGGTGCAGGCACCCCTCTTCCTCGTTTGTGACAACCCATTTCTCTCTCTTTCTATCAGCCCTCCCCACCTCTCCCCCCTTGTTTGACAGGAAAGCGGCCATCTCTCTTGCCAGAGCTCTGAGCTTAGGGCCACATTTCCCCATTCCTCTTTCCATCGCTCCCTCGCATGACGTTTGCCCGAGCGCCACAGATTGGCCGCCTCTGTCTTGGACGAGAGTCCTTCACCTTTGGGCCCCCAGACATTGGCGGACTGTTGTTGTTTAGTTGTTTAGTCGTGTCCGCCTCTTCGTGACCCCCTGGACCAGAGCACGCCAGGCACTCCTGTCTTCCACTGCCTCCCGCAGTTTGGTCAAGCTCATGCTGGTAGCTTCGAGAACACTGTCCCACCATCTCATCCTCTGTCGTCCCCTTCTCCTTGTGCCCTCCGTCTTTCCCAACATCAGGGTCTTTTCCAGGGAGTCTTCTCTTCTCCTGAGGTGGCCAAAGTCTTGGAGCCTCAGCTTCAGGATCTGTCCTTCCAGTGAGCACTCAGGGCTGATTTCCTTAAGGATGGATCGGTTTGATCTTCTTGCAGTCCATGGGACTCTCAAGAGTCTCCTCCAGCACCATAATTCAAAAGCATCCATTCTTCGGAGATCAGCCTTCTTTATGGTCCAGCTCTCACTTCCATACATCACTACTGGGAAAACCAGAGCTTTAACTATATGGACCTTTGTTGGCAAGGTGATGTCTCTGCTTTTTAAGATGTTGTCTAGTTTTGTCATTGCTTTCCTCCCAAGAAGCCATTGGCAGACTACAACTCCCATTGTCCCCTTCCAGCGTAACCAAAAGTCAAGGGTGATGGGAGTTGTAGTCTGCCAGTGTCTGGGCACTCAAGGCTGCTTTGGACTGTACAGGCATTCTCACAAATGCATATGCATCTGGGTGCGAATGCCAACAGGAGATCATGTTCCTATTTTACTGTCTCCAACAAGGTTGGTTTGGTATTCTGCTCAGTTCCAAATTATGAATATTTAGATCTCAACAGGCCAAAGAGCACAGACCTTCACTTTCCATCTCATGGAGAAACACTACATTGCCCAGTAACAGTTGGCCATTGCTTAGTGGGAGAGCAACTGCCTTGCAGCTGGAATGTCCTGGGTTCAAATCCTGATAGCAGGTAGGGCTGGAAGAGCTTCCTTTTCAGAAATGCTTCCAGTACATTTCTGAGCACAATTCAAAGTGACCTTTAAGGCCCTAAATGGCCTCGGTCCAGTATATCTGAAGGAGTGTCTCCACCCCCATCGTTCTACCCGGACACTGAGGTCCAACGCCGAGAGCCTTCTGGCGGTTCCCTCACTACAAGAAGCCAAATTACAGGGAACCAGGCAGAGGGCCTTCTCGGTGGTGGCACCCGCCCTGTGGAACGCCCTCCCACCAGATGTCAAAGAGAACAACAACTACCAGACTTTTAGAAGACATCTGAAGGCAGCCCTGTTTAGGGAAGCTTTTAATATTTAATGCATTACTGTATTTTAATATTTTGTTGGAAGCCACCCAGAGTGGCTAGGGAAGCCCAGCCAGATGGGTGGGGTAAAAATAAATTATTATTATTATTATTATTATTATTATTATTATCCTTGCGGACAACACTGAGGTAGATGTTGCAATGGTCTGACTCAGCAGAAGGCAGCTTTCTGTGTTCTGGAAAATTCTTGATACAGCTGACCCTGGGCATGCTTGCACTGTTGTGGTTGGCATCTGTCTGTCTCAAAAGACAATGGAGTTTGCTTCCGGGGGTGAAGTCAAGCTGCTGTGTTAGTAGCCCCAAAGTGAGCTCCCTGGGGTGCAAGTCTGGGCAGTGCGTCTGGAGATCCTGGGCTGCCCAGACGGCAAGACACCCCCCCACCTTGGCCTCCCTGATGTGGTCCAAAGGAAAGCAGAACAAGACATTTGGCACCCGCTTGGCTGCAGGTGTTACCGGAAGGAGACGTACAAGGAACCATCCAACCACCTTAGGGACTCCGCTCTGGATTTGTGTAGGATTAACTCCCCTGCCTTTTCTTTCCTTGAATATATCTGACAACTGAGCTGTGGGTTAAACCACAGAGCCTAGGGCTTGCTGATCAGAAGGTTGGCGGTTTGAATCCCCGCGATGGGGTGAACTCCCGTCGCTCGGTCCCTGCTCCTGCCCACCTAGCAGTTCGAAAGCACGTCAAAGTGCAAGTAGATAAATAGGTACCACTCCAGCAGGAAGGTAAACGGCATTTCCATGTGCTGCTCTGGTTCGCCAGAAGCAGCTTAGTCATGCTGGCCACATGACCTGGAAGCTGTACGCCGGCTCCCTCGGCCAATAAAGCGAGATGAGCGCCGCAACCCCAGAGTCAGCCACGACTGGACCTAATGGTCAGGGGTCCCTTTACCTTTACATTAACTCCCCGGCCTTTTCTTTCCTTGAATATATCCAATAATTGGGAAACACTGGCCTGCGTGCGTTCCAATTGGAGAGCAGCCTTTTCCAAAGGAGTCATGGGTTTTGAAGACACTCGAACTCAGGACGCAAGGGAGAAACGTGCTAAGAGGAAGGCACACTTGGCAAATCCACACCGTGATCAACTCCCGCCTGGAAACCTATGTCCCCACTGTGCAAGAATGTGTGGATCCAGAATTGGCCTCCACAGTCACTTACGGACTCACTGCTAAAACCCTGTTTTGGAAGATCTTACTTGGCTATGAGTGATCGCCAAAGAAGAAGAAGATATCCTGCAAAGGATCAGAGGTTTAGGACCAGAGATTCCTTTCTCCTTGAAGGGCTCTCTTTCCAGGGAGGCAAGCCCCATCTGCCCCCTCTACAGCATGGGAAGAAACCTCCTTGACCCTTGGACCCATTCTTGCACTTTATCCTCCAGAACATGTTTTTGCATGCAGGGGAAGCGAAGCTCCTAACTTGGCTCTGAGACCCATAGGCTTCTCTCACCTGGTTTAGCTGGCCAGTCAAAGCCGTTTCCTAGGGATGTAGCCGCTGTCTCATGCGGACAGCTTCCAGGAGCCACAGGTGAGAGCCGAGTGCAGGGTGGGGACCAAAGGAGGACAAACTCCCCCAGAAGGAGCAGGATGTGTCCCCCAACAGGGGTTCTCCCCAAACACCCCATGCATAGGTCTAAATTTTGGAGGTCCCAGGTCACAAGGTGGTTAGATTGGTCTCAACTAGGGCCAGGGCCTTTTCAGTACTGGCCCCGACTTGGTGGAACGCTCTGTCACAAGAGACTAGGGTCCTGCGGGACTTGACATCTTTCCGCAGGGCCTGCAAGACAGAGCTGTTCCGCCTGGCCTTTGGTTTGGACTCAGTCTGACCCTTACGTTTCCCTCCCCTTATGGTCTTGATTTATCGGCTACTTTTAAATGAGGCTTCATTTTAAATTGCATTTTAACCTGTATTTTAAATTGGTTTTTTTTCCTTTCCCCTCTCTTTCCCCCCTATTATGTTTTTACTGTGATTTTATTGGTGTTAGCTGCCCTGAGCCCGGCTCTGGATGGGGAGGGCGGGGTATAAATAAAATCTATTATTATTATTATTATTATTATTATTATTATTATTATTACAGTCACACCTCGGGTTGAATGTGCTTTGGGATGAGTGCGTTCGAGTTGCGCTCCGTGGCAACCCGGAAGTAACGGAGCGTGTTACGTCCGGGTTTCACCGCTTGCGCATGCGCAGATGCTCAAAATGACGTCACGCGCATGTGCAGAAGTGGCAAAAAGCGACGCGCGCGTGCACAGACGTGCCATCGCTAGTTATGTTTGCTTCTAGATGCGAACAGGGCTCCACAACGGATCCCGTTCACATCTAGAGGTACCATTGTATTATTAAATCTTACTCTGATCACTGGGTTCATAAGCAACTGCAGCCTTCAGATAAATGTCAATTTTGCTTAACTCCCTGGCACCCGCATGGGGAACGAAAAAGGCTTTCGTTTTGTACCTAAGCCCCCCGCAAAAGCTCAATAGGCTGCAGAGGTTCCCCTCCCAGGCTGCCAGCTGTTTTCACCAGTTTGCATGCATGCTCCATCTACTCCTTTGCAGAACTGGAGCCTGATTTCGTCTCCTCTCCTGGCTGATTTAAACCAGCCTTGATGTCATTCCTTGTTTGCAACTCAGGCCTTAAAACTCAGGGGGAGGCAGAGGCGACAGAGCCCCCCTCCCCTCTCCGCTTTGCCGGAGGCTCTCTGAAAGGACGGCATGCGCAGCCAATGGAAAGCCCAGCTGTGTGAGCATGATGTCACCAGGACAGGCTCCCATTGGGCAAGGTCGGGCTACTTAACCTAGCAACAGCCGCCAAGGCCGCCTCGCCCCCATTAACCCCCTGCAAGCCAGCTCTGCTCTCTCTCCCCCCCCCCCCAGCTGTTAATCACTTTTGTGGGGAGCTGTGCAGCCGCAGAGTGCGCTTCCTTCTCCCTGCTCACAAAGGAGGGAGCTGGCAGGTGAAAAGGAGGCCTGTCAGCCGTGGAAACCGCAGCCCTTTTGTTGCCCGGCCTCAGTTCCTCCTGCCTTGCCCCCCCTCGGGCGCGCACAGATGGCACCATTGTTGCCTGAACAAAGCCGGAGGGGAGTGCCGTGCCATGGGTTGGCAGGACGGCCGAGGCTGGCAGCTGGCGGGCAAGCGCCAGGCCTAGCTTGGCTCAAGCTGTCGCGGTGGAAGCTCGCCAGCGAGTGGCAATAAATAACAAGGGGCAGCGGCACGCGAGGACCCCCTCTGCACCGTCCCGGCCGGGCAAAGCCCCCTCTGTGCCAGCCCTGCAATGCGAGGTTGCCCACCAGGGCTTGGTCCCAGTTTGCAGGCCGAGCACAACAAACCACGGTTTCCCGGGTCGGGTGTAGCAGCAAGCCACGGTTTACCTCTGCGTGGAAAAGTTGGGCTATTGCTGTACTTGAAGAGGGTGTGGGGGACCTCAAAGCACATTTTGCCGCCTGAGGCGAAGGGCAAGATGGCTCTGCCCCTCTTTCTGTGCGCAAAGGGTACTGAGTCCGGCTGTTGGGCCTGGCAACGGGGCAGCGTCCTCTGCTGTGCCAGAGAGCGGCAGGTCAGGTCAGAGGGTGCAGGCCAGGCCCTGTCCCTCAGTACCTGTCGCCTGAGGCGCTCACCTCACTTGGCCTCCCGGTCGGGCAGAGGACTCGAACTCATGGCTTCAAGTTACAAGAAAGGAGTTTCTGACTAAACATTTGGGAAAACTTTCTGAGGGTCATTGCTATTTGATAGCAGACTGTCCTTCATTGGAGATTTCTGAACACAGGTTCACCTGTCTGGGATTATTTAGCGGTGATTCCATCCCGAAAGGTAAAGGTAAAGGGACCCCTGACCATTAGGTCCAGTCGTGGCTGACTCTGGGGTTGCGGCACTCATCTTGCTTTATTGGCCGATGGAGCCGGCGTACAGCTTCCGGGTCATGCGGCCAGCATGACTAAGCCACTTCTGGCGAACCAGAGCAGCGCACGGAAACACCGTTTACCTTTCCGCCGGAGTGGTACCTATTTATCTACTTGCACTGGTGTGCTTTCGAACTGCTAGGTGGGCAGGAGGATTCCATCCCTACAATTCTACAGTTCTGTGGTTTTACAAATAATATTTGCACCGGCAAAAGCTGCAGGGTGAGTCTACTTCTGATCAGTGCAAACCCCCCCCCCCCATAACAACCTCCTGAAATCCTGTATACACCACAAATGTCTCGGTTTGTTTCTGGTCCTGCTTTTGTTGCTCTGTACTGTGAAATTTCCCCTCCAGGAAACAATCCTGCGGAAGCATTACGGAAGCGATATAGCCAAATGATGTGCGGACGGTTCAGTTTCAATCCTGCGCTCATGATGCAATCTTAAACCCACGCAGCGCTAAATCCAGCAGCAAGCTGCCCCTGTGATTCCGCTTGCAATTGAGGTGTGGGAGACTCTTTGTGGGATGAGTTGGGGACCCTGCCTCTCCCCTCTTGCAGGGCCCAGGAGGGGATTTCTGGCTCCCCACTGGCCCAGCGTAATCCCAGGAAATTTGGTGCTGGGGGGGGGAGGTGGCTGGGCCCCATCGCAAACCTTAGCAGGCAGGCCCTGACCTGCCTCCTTGCCTCCGGGGTCTGGCAAAACAAACAAACAAACAACGAAGAAGGAACCCAAAGTCCCGCAAATAACTTTCCTTTTCTTTTCGGGCTCCCGAGGTTGCCTTGGGGATGGCAGCTTGGCTTTTGATGTCATCCCGGATCGGTTGCCACGGTGACCGGGTCTCTCTGCGGTCACCATTGCCATGGCGACAGACTGGATTGAGTGATGGAGAATGGGGCTTAAGCCAGAGGGACAGCCCTCCTTCCGCTGGGCTTGGTGATGAAGGCAAAGTTGCAGGCCGCAGAAATCCCGCTGCCCCAAGGCCCAGACCCACAGACCAAATACCTAGGGAAAGACCCCCCCCCCAACTCACGAGAGGAACACCTGCTTTGAATGCAGAAGGTGCCGGGTGTTTGCTTCTTCTTCTTCTTTTTTAACATAGTTTTTTTAATTGATTTTCACAGTTTTTGCAAATTTACTTATATTTCAATATACATTTTTCGTAAATTTTTGACATCCCACCCTTACTTCCGTGATGTTTTTATTCCCACCTTATACGTACTGCTTTATACGACATACTTTAATCTAATACAATTATCCTCCATTTCATTTGTCATTGTTTTCATTCCGCTGCTCATAATTCGAACCCTGTCCATGTGGCTATAACAGTTTTTCAAATAGCCCAAAAAGGGTCTCCACTCTTTCATGAACAAATCGTCTCTTTTATCTCTTTATTTTTGCTGTCAATTTCGCCATTTCCACCTAGCCCATTATCTTTCGAAGCCATTCCTCCTGGGCAGGAACTTCACCTTCTTCCCATTTCTGAACGTACAGGATTCCAGCTGCTGTTGCCGCATCCAAAGGGCCCAATTTTGATCCTCAGCATCTTCAGGTCGGCCTGAGAAAGACGGCCTGGGGAGCAGCTGCCAGTCAGAGCCCAGACTAGGTTTGGAGAAACTTTCTGCGCTTTCCGTTCTTGTTTGTATTATGCATTTTGTGTTTTTAGCTTGTTATGTTGCGAACAGCCCTGAAATGGAGTGTGGTATACCAATTCAATAAATAATAAAATTAAACAAATAAATAGAACTCTGAGGGCCAAATTCCTTTCCGGACAAGCTTCTGAGGGCCACATGCAAAACCAGGCAGAGGAACGGATGCTAATTTCACTTTTTGTGCAGCAGACCAGTTTCTACGGACACTACAAATGCACCTATCTAAACCATACCTTCCAACTTCTTCCAAATAAAAACGGGGGTGCACATCTTCGGGGGTGCACATCTTCTGGGATGCACCCTTGGGTGAGTCATGTGACCCATGCCTTGCTCTCGCACCCCTCTTCATCCCCACCCCACCCCACAATTCATATTCATATATATGTGTCTCTAACTCTTCTCACCGGCTCATATAAATAGCTGAGTCTGGTGTTCCCAACCTTTATAGTTATAAATTGTGGGGAGCCATCTGATTTATTCTGATTTTAATTTGTATTTCAGTCGATTGCTGGATTTTATGTTTTAATGTACAGTGGTACCTCGGGTTACATACGCTTCAGGTTACAGCCTTCGCTAACCCAGAAATATTACCTCGGGTTAAGAACTTTGCTTCAGGATGAGAACAGAAATTGTGTGGTGGCGGCGCGGCAGCAGTGGGAGGCCCCATTAGCTAAAGTGGTGCTTCAGGTTAAAAACAGTTTCAGGTTAAGAACGGACCTCCAGAATGAATTAAGTTCTTAACCCAAGGTTGTTGTTGTTGTTTAGTCGTTTAGTCGTGTCCGCTTCTTCGTGACCCCCTGGACCAGAGCACGCCAGGCACTCCTGTCTTCCACTGCCTCCCGCAGTTTGGTCAGACTCATGTTTGTAGCTTCGAGATCACTGTTCAACCATCTCGTCCTCTGTCGTCCCCTTCTCCTTGTGCCCTCCATCTTTCCCAACATCAGGGTCTTTTCCAGGGAGTCTTCTATTCTCATGAGGTGGCCAAAGTATTGGAGCCTCAGCTTCAGGATCTGTCCTTCCAGTGAGACTCAGGGCTGATTTCCTTAAGAATGGATCGGTTTGATCTTCTTGCAGTCCATGGGACTCTCAAGAGTCTCCTCCAGCACCAGAATTCAAAAGCATCAATTCTTCGGCGATCAGCCTTCTTTATGGTCCAGCTCTCACTTCCATACATCACTACTGGGGAAAACCATAGCTTTAACTCTACGGACCTTTGTTGGCAAGGTGATGTCTCTGCTTTTTAAGATGCTGTCTAGGTTTGTCATTGCTTGTATTATTCTATCGATTAGCCCAGTTTCTGGGGCTGCTTTTCAGTTTTCTTGAAAGCAGACTTGGGGAAATGGATCTGGGCAGTGGGACCAACCCCCCTCCCCAGGAAAAAATTGACAGGTGGGTGGAGGGTTGGGGATTGCACCCCTGCCAGTCACCTGAAGGGAACACAGAGCCATTAGCGGATCAGCAGTCTCCCCGCAACCTCACTTTGCTGCAGAAAGATGATCCTGCACCTGCTGCACACCTGCCGTCATAGGGCAGGTGTGTGTGGCTTGCCAGATTGTACTGATTTAGACCCGCAGGTCAGGTGTTCCCCACAGCTGCACTGAGCGCAGGGGAGATTGCCACAGGGGCTGTTTCAGAAACGCACAAAAACCCGGGCACATTTCCCACCGCATCAGCCGCCTCTCCTTCGCCCTTTCTGACCCTGCGCATCCTGCCCAGCTAAGCCTCTGGGATTAACAGCTCCTGACCCAGCCTCTTCATCAAAAGCTACTTAGCAGGCTCGGCAGGTGTTGGGAGCCTGAAATAGAGAGGCGAAAAGGGCGTCGAAGAGATGCTTTAGTTATACTTATTTCGCTCGGCGCAGTGACCTGCTGCCCATAAGACAAAGTCCCTCTGGGCAGTTCGTGAAACGGTATAAAAGGAAGCTCTCAGTACAGAGCATATACTGTATTTTTTGCTCTATAAGACTAACTTTTCCCCTCCTAAAACATAAGGGGAAATGTGTGTGCGTCTTATGGAGCGAATGCAGGCTGCTCAGCTATCTCAGAAACCAGAACAGCAAGAGGGATTGCTGCTTTCACTGTGCAGCGATCCCTCTTGCTGTTCTGGCTTCTGAGAGTCAGAATATTTTTTTCTTGTTTTCCTCCTCCAAAAACTAGGTGCGTCTTGTGGTCTGGTGCATCTTATAGAGTGAAAAATACGGTATTAATTAAATACGGTATTAAATACATATTAAATATGGTACTACTGGTAGAAAATAAAATCCGCATGGAACCCAGTATGAGAACAGTCTAAGGGGAAGGGGTGCTGGCCCACCTGGCAGGGAGGGCGTGCGGATAAGTAGCCATCTTTGAGGTCAACCTGGCTGTGCAAATACACCAGGCAGATTTTAAACCGAGGCGGAAGCCAGCTGTGCATTTCAAAGCACATTTATGACCATTCAGCTATTCCCTATTCCCTGTTTTACTGAAGGTACATTATTGCAGTCCATAACTGATTTTTTAAAAAATTTCCTTTATGAATACATGAGTACGTTTCCGAGCACAATTCAAAGTGTTGGTGCTGACCTTGAAAGCCCTAAACGGCCTCGGTCCAGTATACCCGAAGGAACGTCTCCACCCCCATCGCTCTCCCCGGACACTGAGGTTCAGCGCCGAGGGCCTTCTGGCGGTTCCCTCACTGCAAGAAGTGAGGTTACAGGGAACCAGGCAGAGGGCCTTCTCCATAGTGGCGCCTGCCCTGTGGAAAGGAAATAAACAACTATCTGACTTTTAGAAGACATCTGAAGGCAGCCCTGTTTAGGGAAGCTTTTAATGTTTAATAGGTTGACAACCATATGTCAGGAGTGCTCTGATGGTGTTTCCTGCTTGGCAGGGGGTTGGACTCGATGGCCCTTGTGGTCTCTTCCAACTCTATGATTCTATGATTCTATGATTCTAGGTTATTGTATTTTAATATTCTATTGGAAGCCGCCCAGAGTAGCTGAAGAAACCCAGCCAGATGGGCGGGGTATAAATAAATTTATTATTATTATTATTCTCATCCTGAAGTGATTAAACAATGATTAAAAATTGGCATATAGATGATAGATGGATGGATAGATAGATAGATAGATAGATAGATAAGATAGATAGAGATATTGCTTCTAGATGATCTGTTTATTGAGCATTCATCCTGATTTGCTTGCAGGGAGATTAGAATAATAGAATAATAGAATCTTAAGAGTTGGAAGGGACCCCGAGGGTCATCTAGTCCAACCCCCTGCAATGCAAGAATTTCAGCTAAGGCATCCCTGACAGGCGGCCATCCAACCTCTGCTTTGAACCTCCAAGAAAGGAGATTCTATCATCTTCCAAGGGAGACTGTTCCACTGTCAAATGGCTTCTACTGTCAGAAAGGTCTTCCTGATATTTAGTCTGAACCTCCCTTCTTGTAACTTGAAGCCATTGGTTCAAGTCCTATCCTCTGGAGCAGGAGAAAACAAGCTTCCTCCCTCCTCCATGTGACAACCCTTAAGATATTTGAAGATGTCTATCATATCTCCTCTCAATCTCCTCTTCTCCAGGCTCAACATACCCAGCTCCTTCAACCGTTCCTCATCAGGCTTGGTTTCCAGACCCTTGATCATCTCGGTCACCTGCCCACCTTCCAGCTTGTCAACATCCTTCTGAAATTGTGGAGCCCAGAACTGGACACAGTATTTTAGGTGTGGTCTGACCAAGGCAGAATAGAGTGATACTATGACCTCCCTTGGGCTGGATACTAGATGGCTGTTGCTATAGCCTAGAATAGCGTTAGTCACACTGTTGACTCATGTCAACTCACCAAGATTAGACAGCAACACTGGCTGTGTCATTTGTTCCCCTTCATTTGCGGGGAGGTTAAATGGAGGTGAATCGTAGGAAATATCACCCCATCCTTTCCAGCATCTCTCCGCATCTCTTGGGGGAACGAGGTTGCTGAGAAAGCCCTTGCGATCATCTATAATTGCAAAACCTGAATTTGCTGGAATGAAAACACTGAATCTGGAGACATCCAGAGTTTCTAGCCCAATGCAGGCGGGAAACTTGGCGTCCCTTACTTTAGAAGTCCCCGTAAGCCTGACCCTATAGAAGAGCCTTCTGCAACCTACATCTGCCTGGGATGGATGGGGGAAGAAGGCTGAAGCATCGTTTGCAGGGAAAGAACAGAACATGTTTACGCACAGAACACACAACGCCTCTGATTTCTACATCCAGACTATTCTGGTGGGTTGCCTTGAAATACGGTGTGTTTGCTGCCACCTCGTGGCAAGTCTGCAAATGAATTCTACTTGTTACTGGAATCTGTCTTCTCAAGAGGCAATGGAGTGCACCTCAGGGGCAAACCGCTGGGGAATCACAGCGCCTGCTGTGGCTGCAGAGACCAGAAACTTGTAGCTGCTGCCTCCCACATATTTTTATTTTTGCTGTGTTAGCAGCATCAAAGTGACCTCCCTGGGACACATACATACAAACCGTGTTGTTCGTTGTTCTAATGTGTTGTAAGCAATGACAAACCTAGACAGCATCTTAAAAAGCAGAGACATCACCTTGCCGACAAAGGTCCGTATAGTCAAAGCTATGGTTTTCCCAGTAGTGATGTATGGAAGTGAGAGCTGGACCATCAAGAAGGCTGATCGCCGAAGAATTGATGCTTTTGAATTCTGGTGCTGGAGGAGACTCTGGAGAGTCCCATGGACTGCAAGAAGATCAAACCTCTCCATTCGGAAGGAAATCATCCCTGAGTGCTCACTGGAAGGACAGATCCTGAAGCTGAGGCTCCAATACTTTGGCCACCTCATGAGAAGAGAAGACTCCCTGGAAAAGACCCTGATGTTGGGAAAGATGGAGGGCACAAGGAGAAGGGGACGACAGAGGATGAGATGGTTGGACAGTGTTCTCAAAGCTACCAGCATGAGTTTGACCAAACTGTGGGAGGCAGTGGAAGACAGGAGTGCCTGGCGTGCTCTGGTCCATGGGGTCACGAAGAGGTGGACACAACTAAACGACTAAACAACAACAACAAGAGTCTGCCAATGTCTGGGGGCCCAAAGGAGTGCCTGGCGTGCTCTGGTCCAGGGGGTGACAAAGAGTCAGACAAGACTAAACAACTAAACAATAACAACAACAATGTGTTGTAAACCGCTTTGAGATTTTTTTTCTTTAAAAGTTAAAGCGGTATAGAAATGACATGAATACTAATGAGAACACATAGTTTTACTTGTGTGCCAGCGTTCCCTCGTTACAACCATACTTAAGCCAATTTACAACGCGGAGAGGAAAAAAATTACACCATTGCAAACATAGCAAAAGTAGTCATAAACATTGAATAAAGCCTCAAAAAGCACACAACTAAATTGAAACCATTTCCACATAAATCATAATAAGATCTAGAATTAAAGCACAAAAATTAATGGCAATAACTGCAGCAACACACACACACACACACACACACAGAGAGAGAGAGAGAGAGAGAGAGAGAGAGCAACCACCTCTAAGCAACAACCCAAGTGTCTGATCAGCAGCCTCAGCTTTTGTAGCTGGAGTCAGTCCACCCGCCCCCCCACTCCCAGGCCAGATGGAAAAAGGCCTGCAAGGCAGGGAGCAAGTCTTCCAGGAATCACAGCCAAGATGACTATTTGAGTAGCTGGCAATATAACAAATATGGAAAGACACTACAGGCTGTCTTATGTGTGTACATAGAAGTCCACCTTTTAAAATCAGAATTCAAATATTTTTCTACTGGAGGCCTGACTTATAATGAGAGGAGAATTTATAACATTCGTATTCCATCCAGAAGCAAAGTATAATATCCTAGCCTCACACTCCAAAGTAAGGCAGAGATAATCAGAGCAGAGCTATCTAGGGATATTCATAGCGGAGTAGCAGAACACTACTGACTCACACTGGGCAGTGTGTCTGGAGGTCCTGGGCTGCCCAGACGACAAGACCCCCTCTCAGCCTCCCTGACGGGGTCCAAAGGACAGCAGAGCAAGATGTTGGGCACCAGTTTGGCTGCAGGAGTTGCTGGAAGGAGAAGAAGAAGAAGAGTTTGGATTTGATATCCCACTTTATCACTACCCAAAGGAGTCTCAAAGCGGCTCACAATCTCCTTTCCCTTCCTCCCCCACAACAAACACTCTGTGAGGTGAGTGGGGCTGAGAGACTTCAAAGAAGTATGACTAGCCTATGGTCACCCAACAGCTGCATGTGGAGGAGCAGGGAAGCGAACCCGGTTCCCCAGATTACGAGTCTACCGCTCTTAACCACTACACTGCACTGGCACCATCCAACTGTCTTAGGGACTCCACTCCAGATTTGTGTAGGGTTGACCCTGACCCTTTTTTTTCTCCCGAAGACATCCCACGAGGCAGCAGACGTTTAGGATCAGAGTTCTTCTCCTGGATGGGCTTCCTTCCCAGGTGGACGAGCCCCACCTGCCCCTCTCTTCTCTCGACGGTGCGTGCAGAAACTGCCTTCTTGACTGTTGGACCAGCTCTTGGTCTTTTCTGTTCAATCTGCCAGAACCTGTCTTCACATGCAGGGGGTCTGAGACCCATCGGCTCCCCTCACATGGTTGAGCCGACCATAGAATCATAGAATCATAGAGTTGGAAGAGACCACAAGGGCCATCGAGTCCAACCCCCTGCCAAGCAGGAAACACCATCAGAGCACTCCTGACATATGGTTGTCAAGCCTCTGCTTAAAGACCTCCAAAGAAGGAGACTCCACCACACTCCTTGGCAGCAAATTCCACTGTCGAATAGCTCTTACTGTCAGGAAGTTCTTCCTAATGTTTAGGTGGAATCTTCTTTCTTGTAGTTTGGATCCATTGCTCCGTGTCCGCTTCTCTGGAGCAGCAGAAACAACCTTTCTCCCTCCTCTATGTGACATCCTTTTATATATTTGAACATGGCTATCATATCACCCCTTAACCTCCTCGACTTAACCAGTCGAAGCCTTTCCCGGGTGTGCGTGCTGTCACATGCTGACAGCTTCTAAGAGCCACAGGTGAGAGCTGAGTGCAGAGTGTGGACCAAAGGGGGACAAACTCCCCCAGAAGGAGCACGACTTATCCCCCACCAGAGGTACCACCCCTCTCCTAATACCCCATACACAAAATAATAATACAGTCATATCTCAGGTTACGTTTGCTTCATGTTACGTTCTTTCAGTTTATGTCCCGCAGTGACCCAGAAGTACCCGGAAGTACCCGAAAGGGATACTCCCGGGTTTCGCCTCTCACGCATGTGCAGAAGCACTAAATCGCGCTTCGTGCATGCGCACATGTGCCAAATCGCGCCGCACACCTGCACAGATAAAGTGCTTCAGGTTGTGCTCTTTTCATGTTGCGAACGGGCCTCCAGAACGGATCCTGTTCACAACCAGAGGTACCAGTGTAATAATAATAATAATAATAATAATAATAATAATAATATCATTTGTACCCCACCCATTTGACTGGGTTGGCCCAGTGGGTGGCTTCCAACATTTTTAAAAACATAATAAAACACCACACATTAAAAGTCTTCCTTGAAAGGCTTGATGCTTCCACTTCATGGCTTATTAAATTCAGCAGGGGTCCAGAGTCGGGAGGCTGCGGGTGCCTCATGTAGAGAGGGCACAGTTCCAACTCCTTTAAAAGAAGAAACTCACCTGGACCCTGCGCTACCTGGGCAAAGTGATCAGGAGTGGTGGCTGGGCAACTCCACTCATCACGGAATGAAACCAATTCTCTGGTACCATTTCAGTCAGATTTCAGAGCTGCTTTGTCGATGGAAACTGCCTTGGTCTCCCTGTGGGTTGGACTTTGTTGGAGGGATTGACAGGGGGAGTGAGACACTGCTAAATCTCCTGGACCTCTCAGTGGCTTTTGATGGCCCCGGTGTCCTCCTGGACTGGCTACCAGAGTGTGGGAGGCAACACTCGTTGGTGGTTCTGCTCATAGCTGGGTGGCCGGGTCCATAAGGTGGTTCTGGTGAACCACCTTGGCAGGCATGCTTTGAAGTTTCTCCCATCCCACTTAACATCTGCATGAGACTCTTGGGTGAGGCCATCTGGAGACTTGGTTGGAGGTGTTACCAGTATGCAGAGAACACCCAGCTGTCTAGGTTGGTGGCAATTCTCCCCCCCTTCCCCCCCATTATTTTTTATTATTTTCCTTTAAACAACATTCCCAACATTACAATAACAAACACAAAACAACCTTTTTGCTCTGCTGAGCTTGCGACTTCCTTCCTTCCCTTCAACAGGTATCCCATATCACATCCATTTCAAGCAATTCAAATCTTTACTATGTGTCCACATTGTAGGATTTATTTCAACCCTGCTCGTGTCTTCAGATTTTTGCAATTATCGTTCCAATATTCAATAAACTTACTCCAGTCTCTTTGGAATTTCTGATCGTCCTGGTCTCGGATCCTGCAAGTCAGTTTGGCCAACTCTGCAAAGTCCATCACCTTCGCCTGCCACTCCGCAATAGTAGGTATTTCTTGTAATTTCCATTTTTGGGCCAGCAAAGTCCTTGCTGCGACTGTGGCATGCGTAAATAGATACAGTGGTGCCCCGCAAGACGAATGCCTCACAAGACGAAAAACTCGCTAGACGAAAGAGTTTTCCGTTTTTTGAGTCGTTCCGCAAGACAAATTTCCCTATGGGCTTGCTTCGCAAGACGAAACGTCTTGCGAGTTCTTGCGAGTTTGTTTCCTTTTTCTTAAAGCCGCTAAGCCGCTAAGCCGTTAATAGCCGCTAAGCCGCTAAGCCGCTAATAGCCGTGCTTCGCAAGACGAAAAAACCGCAAGACGAAGAGACTCGCGGAACGGATTAATTTTGTCTTACGAGGCACCACTGTATAGTGGCAATTCTTTGTTTCTTGAAGCAGCAAGTTCCACAAATCTGCGCTGCAGGAAAGTCCTTTCTTTGGCCTGCCCTGAATTGTCCAACATTCAGTTTCACTGGATGTCCACAAGTCTGAGTGTTATGCGAGAGGGAGAAAAACTTCCCCCTATCTTTCTCTCACCTTTTCTCTAAGTCCAACCAAAAAAGTCCAAAATGCTGTGACCGTTCCTCACAGGGGAGTCGCTCCAACTCTTGGATCATTCTGGCTTCCTTTTCCCGAACCTTCTCCAACTCTCCAATGTCCCTTTTGAGGTGAGGCGATCAGGAGCAACGAAGATGACCCAACAGCTTCTACACCCTGCCTGCCAAGCTGTCAAAGATGTGCCGTGATGTGTACTCTTGCAAAACTTGCACACTTTGCAAGCTTGGGGGGTGGGTCTGCTCCCACCTGCAGCGGCAGTGCCTTGGGCTAGGAGATAATCCTGCACCCTCCTTTTAAGGCTCCTGATCAGTGTCTGTTACTTCTCCCGTCAGCAGCCCATGGCCCTTCCCAGCCTCTTCAGAGACCCACCCCCCACTCTGCCAGGAAGGCGTTGACATCCCTGCTCCCCTTTCCAAAGCAGCCAATGGCGCCAAACCAGCTTCACCTCTCTCGGCCTAGTATACCTGAAGGAGTGTCTCCGCCCCCATCATTCTGCCCGGACGCTGAGGTCCAGCGCCGAGGGCCTTCTGGCGTTTCCCTCATTGCGAGAAGCAAAGCTACAGGGAACCAGGCAGAGGGCCTTCTCGGTGGTGGCGCCCGCCATGTGGAACGCCCTCCCATCAGATGTCAAAGTGATAAATAACTACCTGACATTTAAAAACATCTGAAGGCAACCCTGTTCAGGGAAGTTTTTAATGTGTGACATTTTGATGTATTTTTAATTCTTGTTGGCAGCTGCCCAGAGAGGCTGGGGAAACCCAGCCAGATGGGCGGGGTAAGGTAATGGTAAAGGGACCCCTGACCATTAGGTCCAGTCATGACCAACTCTGGGGTTGTGGCGCTAATCTCGCTTTATTGGCCGAGGGAACCAGCGTACAGCTTCCGGGTCATGTGGCCAGCATGACTAAGCCGCTTCTGGCGAACCAGAGCAGCACATGGGAATGCCGTTTACCTTCCCGCCGGAGAGGTACCTACTTATCTACTTGCACTTGACGTGCTTTCGAACTGCTAGGTTGGCAGGAGCTGGGACAGAGCAACGGGAGCTCACCCCGTTGCGGGGATTCGAACCACCGACCTTCTGATCAGCAAGTCCTAGGCTCTGTGGTTTAACCCATAGGGAAGGGTACAAATAATAAATTATTATTATTATTATTATTATTATTATTCTCCATCAAACGCAAGTGGCAGTCCTGAGCCAGGTGAGGCAGGATAACTTGGACCAGAGACGTGGACCAGACATGATGGGGGCACTGCTATGCACCCAGAAGGTGAAGGATATTGGGCCTGTTCTAGATGGGCCGAACTTCCCCTAAGGCATGGGGATGACAGTGACTGGATCTGGCTGGTGGAACAGATCCTTACCTCTCCCACAGGCCAACTTTGACAGGTGATCCTCCCTTCGCCCACTTCCAGGTCCCACCTGCCTGCCACTGGATATCTCAATGGCGTCAGGTGGCCAATACTCCTTGATGGGCCTTATGGGTCTTAGAGGAATTGGCCGCCTTTTGTCCTGCCACAACAGGGCCACCGTGTTCAAGCAAGCAGGAGAACGGCCATCTGGCGCCGAGCGAAGCTTATTTGAGAACCAAACAGATGAAGATGATGGACTTTTCGGAGCTAGCTGACCTGACGGGAAGAGTCCACGACCAGAAAGAAGAGGGATCCCAAGAAGATTGGAAAAAATGTAAGGACTACCTGAACAAATATTGTAATATTAAAAACCAGAAATCATTTGAAAGCACCAGAGAGGCCTAGGATTAAATTAGGATTTATTAAATAAATTGGGTTTAGAATAGTAAGAAAAGTGAATACGTTAGATAACAATTGGAAATATTTTTGTTGAAGAATGATATTGGAAAGCTGTTACGTACAGATACAAGGAAACTCAGAAGGAAGGGATTAGAGGAAGTCAACCAATATGTAAATAAGGTTGGGTTGTAAAGGTTTAAGATTATTTTCTCCTATGTTGTGGTTCTGGTTATGTCTTTCTTGTAATGTACTGTACTGTTTTTTTCTTTTGGTGTGTGTGTGTGTGTGTGTTTTTCTTTCTTCTTTTTCTTTTTTCTTTTTTGTTAGATTGTAAGTGTTATAATTGTGGAAAATTCAATAAAAAAAGTTGGGGGAAAAAATACATCCCTGCTCACGCCCTAGCATGCATGTCAAATGCACCGTGTTCAACACTCCTGCGTTTTACGCGGCAAGGTGAGTCGCTGCGTCTGGTTGTTAACCAGAAGGTTGGCAGTTCGAGCCCACCCAGGAATGGTTATGGGTAGAATTCCTACATTGCTGGGGGCTGGACTGGATGACCCTCGGGGTCCCTTCCAAGTTGACAATTCCAGGATTCTGCGAATGTGGATGTAGCTGGCCTCTCGTATGAAATTTAAATGTTCTTCCGGTTTCGTACATTCCCACCAGAGGGAGGCAAAGAGCCACAAATGATGATCTATGGCTCGCGGCGCTTCCAGCTGGGTCCTTATTGTGGGGTCCCAGCACCCAAAAATACAGGGGTTTATTGGCAGTGCATATCCACAACAGCACCTGTCAGCCTGATCCTGCCCCCCACCCCCCACCCCGTCCTCATTTAATCCAGTTTCCCCCTTTCCATGGAAAATCAGATAACTTTTTTCTTAAAGCCCTATTGCTAGCACCCATTTGTGGCATTTTCTGACCAACCCATAGGCAATATTGAGCGCCGGTCTGGAAGCCAGATGGCAACTCCCCGAAAAGCAGTGGCAGCAAAACATAGCCATTGTGTCTAGTTGCCATTGACAGGGAAGTCATGTTGTTGTTGAGTCGTTTAGTTGTGTCCGACTTTTCGGGGCCCCCTGGGCCAGAGCATGCCAGGCACTCCTGTCTTCCACTGCCTCCCGCAGTTTGGTCAAACTCATGCTGGTAGTTTCGAGAACACTATCCAACCATCTCATCCTCTGTCGTCCCCTTCTCCTTGTGCCCTCCATCTTTCCCAACATCAGGGTCTTTTCCAGGGAGTCTGCTCTTCTCATGAGGTGGCCAAAGTCTTGGAGCCTCAGCTTCAGGATCTGTCCTTCCAGTGAGCACTCAGGGCTGATTTCCTTCAGAATGGATCGGTTTGATCTTCTTGCAGTCCATGGGACTCTCAAGAGTCTCCTCCACCACCAGAATTCAAAAGCATCAATTCTTTGGCGATCAGCCTTCTTTATGGTCCAGCTCTCACTTCCATACATCACTACTGGGGAAACCATAGCTGTGTCCTGTTTTGGGCTCCACAATTTAAGAAGGGTGTTGACAAGCTGGAAGGTGTGCAGAGGAGGGCGAACAAGATAATCAAGGCTCTGGAAACTAAGCCTGATGAGGAACGGTTGAAGGAGCTGGGCATGTTTAGCCTGGAAAAGAGGAGACTGAGAGGAGATACGATTGCCACCTTCAAATATCTCAAAGGTTGCCTCATGGGAGAGGGAGCAAGCTTGTTTTCTCCTGCTCTGGGGGGTAGGACTCGAACCCATGGCTTCAAGTTACAAGAAAGGGGATTCTGACTAAACATGCAGAAAAACTTTCTGGCGCTACACTTCTATGATTGTACGATAGCTTCAGACGCCTGTCACACTCCAGTGATCTGCAAACGCTCCTTCTACCTGTTTTCACCCCCACGCAGGCAGTTACCTTTTCCTGAATGCCTTGTTTGGAGCCATATTGGGAAACAGCTTTTTTTTTCATGTCCAGCATCAGCAGAGACATAAAATACGTGATTCCGGCTAATGGCTGCTATTACAGGCAATGGCAAGAAGGCAGCCTTTCCTTTATTCCTTCCCATTCATATTTGCACCCACCTGGCCGCCAAAGCCCCTTCCTTGCCTCTCTGCACACGCCTGGTTTGCGTCAGCTAATTTGCCCCCATCGGGTGCAAATTATGCCATTGACTCTTGCACGGGGGCAAAGCGAGCGGCCGGCTGTCACAAGAAAAGCTTATAACCCTGTGGGCTGTTTCTCTGGGCAGCCGTTCAAGCCACGGCTTTCTTCTTCTTGCTCAGAAACAGCTTCTGGTTTCTGGACCCGATTTCCCAGGAAGTGTAACTGTTTTCTCATCACTCCCCCCTGCTTATCTTAATCTTTAAAATGTCTAATAATAAAGGCTTATAAATAAACATAGAGAATCGGAGCTATAAATATGAGCAGGTGATGAGAGGGGCGGGAGAAGAAGGTTATGTTAATGGGAAAGAATTAATCATTATCATTATTTTCCCCCTTTTTCGTAAAAAGAGCCAATGTTTCTATAAATTTGGACCTCCTTGTCAGTCAGTTGGTGACTTTCTTTGGTAGGGTAGTTCATCAGAACAGTTTTGCAGGTTTTCACTAAGCCCCCCACATTAAAAGGCTGATTAAAGAAATTAAGGATCTCTGAAAATGGAGCTTCCACATTCATAAGCAGTCTACCTCTAAATATGAGCTGCTAGGAATATGAGCTATTGTGTTCATGCCCGCCTTGTGGGTTTGCTTGAGGCATCTGATTGGCCGCTGTTGGAAACGGCACGCTGCAATAGGCCAACTGTGACCCTGCAGAGTTTTTATGAAGTTCTTAGATTACTGTAAAACACTCTGTGTGGAGCTGCCTTTGAAGCTGCAGCTGGTGACGAATTCTCCTCTCTAGGCTCCTGTCTACATCCCAATCCCAAAGAAGGGCAGTGCCAAAGAATGCTCCAACTACCGCACAATTTCACACGCTAGCAAGGTTATGCTTAAAATTCTACAAGGCAGGCTCAAGCAGTATGTGGACCGAGAACTCCCAGAAGTGCAAGCTGGATTTAGAAGAGGCAGAGGAACCAGAGACCAAATTGCAAACATGCGCTGGATTATGGAGAAAGCTAGAGAGTTCCAGAAAGACATCTACTTCTGCTTCATTGACTATGCAAAAGCCTTTGACTGTGTCGACCACAGCAAACTATGGCAAGTTCTTAAAGAAATGGGAGTGCCTGATCACCTCATCTGTCTCCTGATAAATCTCTATGTGGGACAAGAAGCTACAGTTAGAACTGGATATGGAATAACTGATTGGTTCAAAATTGGGAAAGGAGTACGGCAAGGCTGTATATTGTCTCCCTGCTTATTTAACTTATATGCAGAATTCATCATGCGAAAGGCTGGGCTGGATGAATCCCAAGCCGGAATTAAGATTGCCGGAAGAAATATCAACAACCTCAGATATGCAGATGACACAACCTTGATGGCAGAAAGTGAGGAGGAATTAAAGAACCTTTTAATAAGGGTGAAAGAGGAGAGCACAAAATATGGTCTGAAGCTCAACATCAAAAAACAAAGATCATGGCCACTGGTCCCATCACCTCCTGGCAAATAGAAGGGGAAGAAATGGAGGCAGTGAGAGATTTTACTTTCTTGGGCTCCATGATCACTGCAGATGGTGACAGCAGTCACGAAATTAAAAGACGCCTGCTTCTTGGGAGAAAATCAATGACAAACCTAGACAGCATCTTAAAAAGCAGAGACATCACCTTGCCGACAAAGGTCCGTATAGTTGGGACCGAGCAACGGGAGCTCACCCCTTCGCGGGGATTCGAACCGCCGACCTTCTGATCGGCAAGTCCTAGGCTCTGTGGTTTAACCCACAGCGCCACCCGCGTCCCTATAATGCACTTAAAACACACTTAAAATGTTCTTATTTGCAGCTGATGGGAGCATATAACACTGAGTTCTAAAAGCACTGCATGGGCTGTTCAGTATGCAACCAAACCCTTTTCTGAGGTCTTAGTCTTGGGATAACAAAGACCTAAGCAACTTGGGGCCTGGTTACCTTAGAAACCTGCAAGGAAGGAGAATCCACTACCTCCCGAGTGTCGCCAGAATGGGAGACAAAAGGGCTCCTTGGAGAAAGTTATTGCCGGACAAAATCCTTCTTTTAAAGACACCACTTTATTTATTTATTTATTTATTTATTTATTTACCGCCCTTCCTTCAAAGATCACAGGGCGGCTCACAACACAGAAATTCTCCAAAATTCTGAGATTCTAAAACACCTTCAGGCAAGCTCGTCGAGTTTCTCATTTGTAAATCTTACTGTGAACAACATAGTCCATGGGTAGGCAAACTAAGGCCCGGGGGCCGGATCCAGTGCAATCGCCTTCTCAATCCTGCCCGAAGACGGTCCGGGAATCAGCATTTTACATGAGTAGAATGTGTCCTTTTATTTAAAATGCATCTCTGGGTTGTTTGTGGGGCATAAGAATTCATTCATCCTCCCCCCCAAAAAATATAGTCCGGCCCTCCACAAGGTCTGAGGGACAGTAGACCGGCCCCCTGCTGAAATAGTTTGTTGACCCCTCACATAGTCATTTACATTGCAGAAAGACCCCTCTTCCACCTTCCCTTAATTGTGTGAGAAAGCGCTTAAAGTTTCTGGACTGTGGACTGGCGTCTACCTGGGCTCTACCACTTTAGAGTATCGGGGGGGGGACAGGAATGCAGGTGGCGCTGTGGTCTAAACCACTGAGCCTCTTGGGCTTGCCGATCGGAAGGTCGGCGGTTCAAATCCCCACAATGGGGAGAGCTCCTGTGGCTCTGTCCCAGCTCCTGCCAACCTAGCAGTTTGAAAGCACACCAGTGCAAGTAGATAAATAGGTACCACTCAGGCGGGAAGGTAAACGGCATTTCCATGCACTCTGGCTCTTGTCACAGTGTTCCTTTGCGCCAGAAGCGGTTTAGTTATGTTGGCCACATGACCCAGAAAGCTGTCTGTGGACAAACGCTGGCTCCTTCAGCCTGAAAGTGAGATGAGCGCCACAACCCCATAGTCGTCTTTGACTGGCCTTAACCTTCCAAGAATTGACGCTTTTGAATTATGGTGCTGGAGGAGACTCTTGAGAGTCCCATGGATTGCAAGAAGATCAAACCTCTCCATTCTGAAGGCAATCAGCCCTGAGTGCTCACTGGAAGGACAGATCCTGAAGCGGAGGCTCCAAGACTTTGGCCACCTCAGGAGAAGAGAAGACTCCCTGGAAAAGACCCTGATGCTGGGAAAGATGGAGGGCACAAGGAGAAGGGGACGACAGAGGACGAGATGGTTGGACAGTGTTCTCGAAGCTACCAGCATGAGTTTGACCAAACTGCGGGAGGCAGTGGAAGACAGGAGGGCCTGGCGTCCTCTGGTCCAGGGGGTTACGAAGAGTTGGACATGACTAAACAACAACAAACCTTCCAAGGGTCCTTTACCTTTACCTTCCCAGAGAGGAGTGCAACACTATAAGTAGCAGGGCCTTTTCTGTAGCTGCACCCACACCCATCCAAGAGAGCTCTGCCCCGCCCTGACATTGCCCTCCTTCCTCTATTTGACTTGAACTTAGCTGGACGTTCCCCCCCACTTTGGTACGCGTTTAATATCCACTCCACGATATCAGAAAAAGCGAGTTCTTTTGGGAGAGGCGTAACTCTTACGGGTCTTGATTCCCTTCCAGCGCTGCAACTTCATAATTCAAGGTTTAGAGGTGGCTGTGGCAGGCTTTCGAAGACAGCTCATCGTGGCTGTGTAATTAAAGACTATTGTGCAATTAAATGATTGGTTAATCACTTCGCAGATCAGATGAGCTTCGGAGGGAAGGAGATGAAGCACAGAGCTGCCGTCTGGAACAACGTCGGTTTTGCAGAGGGAGCCGACAGAGGAAGAGGCAACGATACTTCAGCTATGATGAGCCAATTATCTGCATCATCATTTTCCAGATCGGGGAGGGGGGGGGCTTCTGGGACCCCCTGAGCCAGCTTGTGGCTGGTTGATCTCCAGCGAGGTGGCAGGATCCAAGCAGATCCCCTGGAGAGGCTGGGAAGAGACACAGTTCGCATTAACGCTGCCTAATGAACCTGTCATTTCATGGAAAACTGGCCAGGAAATATTGCAATGTATAGGACAAAGCCAAAGAGAATGAGCATATAAAAACATCGAGACCTGCGACAAAAAGTTGCAGCATATCCTTAGCGTTCCAGTCACCTGTGGCCTCCTCCAGGATACATGTAGGGAGCTCAGGTAGAGCGTCCCACTGCCTCACACCCCATTTTCTCATTTTCCCTATTACAGTGATGCAGATATACAAAGCCCTAAACAACTTGGCTTCAGGTCCAGTTGAGCCTTTACATCCCAGCTTAGAAACATAGAATCGTGGCATTGCAAGGCAACCCCAAGGATCATCTAGTCCAACCCCCTGCAATGCAGGCAGCTTCATACGTCTACATCAGGCGTGGGGAACCTTTGGCATTTATTTTATTTTCAGAGCATAATAACCTAAGGAGAGCCGGCTGCATCAGGTCAAGGGCTGATATATTCCTGCATCATTATCATCATCATCACCATCCCTTTATTGTCATTGTACAACCTGTGTACAATGAAATTAAACGAGTGTGATGGCCTGGGATTCGGACTCGGATGCTGAACCTGAGGGATCCCAGCCTGCACAGGAGTCCCCGCCTCCAGAACCAGCTGAGCCGGGGCTGGGGCCTGAGCCTGAAGGGTCCTCACCTGTGCTGGATCCTCAGGTGCAGGCATCAGCTGAGTCTGCTCTGGCTCCTGAGGTGATGGAGGACCCGTTGCCTGCAGGTGCTCCACTCTCAGCCCCGTCAGAGGAAGCTGAGGTCGCCTCTGGTCCGGTAACCCTCCAGCGCTCCTGAGCTGCAGAGGCTCAGGGCAGAGAGGCGGAGGGAACTAAGTTCCCGCAGGAGGAGGGCTCGCCTCCAGGCCAGGAGAGGCGAGTCACCTGAGGATCGGGCCGCCCTATGCCTCAGGGCAGATAAAAGCCGGCCAGCCCCAGTCCCAAGTTGCGGGAGCAACATTGTTTGTTCCTAGTTCCTGCCTGCACCCTGTCCTGCTTTCCTGCCAGAGCTCCTGCCCCGCCCTGGCTCCCTGCTTGCATGCCTGTTCCTGACTTCACCCGACTCCCTGCCCTGCACCCAGCTTCAGCTACTACGGACTGCCTCCACATTGCATCTTTGACCACGGACAGGACTTGGACCTCGCCTCTTGGGTAACCCACGGGACCAGCACAACGAGCCTCCCTCCCCCCACAACACTCAATCTCTTATCGCACAACACACCACCTCGCAAAGTCAATTTCGCTATGTTATTTTCCATTCAACAGCCTAACAGCCCACAGATAGAAGCTATTTTTTAGCCTGTTGGTACGGCTGATTATACTTCTGTATCTCCTGCCTGAGGGTAGAAGATTAAAGAGGTGCTGGCCGGGGTGTGAGTCATCCCTGAAAAATTTTCTCACTCTTCTAAGGCAACGATCCCTTGCAGTGTCATCTAGCAGACTCAAAGGACAGACCATAATATCATGTGCTGTGTTCACCACCCTCTGTAGAGACTTTCTGTCCGTGGCTGTCAGGTCAGCATGCCCCACTGTGATACAATATGAAAGGACACTTTCTATTGTGGACCAGTAAAAGGAGTTCATCAGTTGTTGTTTAACATTATTCTTTCGCAAGACCCTGAAGAAATAGAGTCTCTGTTGGGCCTTTCTGACCACCTGAGTTGTGTTGATTTTCCAAGTGAGGTCCTCACTAAGGTAAACTCCCAGGAATTTAAAGGAGGAGACTCTTTCCACACAGCCCTCCCCAATATACAATGGGGCAGGTTCCCCTCTCTTCCTCTGGAAGTCCAACACCATCTCCTTTATAAAAAAATTCCTTCCAGTAGCACCTTAGAGACCAACTAAGTTTATTATTGGGATGAGCTTTCGTGTGCATGCACACTTCTTCAGATACCATCTCCTTTGTCTTACTAATATTTAAGGTAAAGGTAAAGGAATCCCTGACCTTTAGGTCCAGTCGCGGACAACTCTGGGGTTGCGGCGCTCATCTTGCTTTACTGGCTGAGGGAGCCGGTGTGCAGCCTCTGGGTCATGTGGCCAGCATGACTAAGCCGCTTCTGGTGAACCAGAGCAGCTCACGGAAACGCAGGAAACTCGTCACAGAATTCGAACCGCCGACCTTCTGATCGGCAAGTCCTAGGCTCTGTGGTTTAACCCACAGCGCCACCCACATCCCTATTCAGGAGCATAGCTGCCTCTAACTATAGAGGCAGAACAGAGCCACAATGGCTGTTAGCCATCGCTAGCCCTCTCCTCCATGAACCTGTCTAATCTTCATTTAAAGTCATCTCAGTTGGTGGTCATCACTGTCTCCACTTCACACGCACTGCTGCCAAGCCAGGAATTATCATCTATCATATATTGCATCATGGGCTTGATGCATAACTTTACCTTTCTTTTGGTCAGTTTCGCCTGCGTCTTCCCTTCCGTGAAGGCCACCTTTTATTCCTGTCTTCTGCAAAAGTGCGCAGGAGTTCTGCGCATCTGATCACGATTCCTCCACCTTTTCCTCCAAGTCTTCGATCCAAGGGCCAGAACCTCGGAAAGAGCTCTGTGACGTTCCTCTCAAAGCCTCCTGCCACGTTGATGAGGAATGGCTGATGAGCAACGTCTTCAAGGACGGCTCTTCAACCAGCTGTGATCTGCATCTTCTCTAGCCCACATCTGACCCGTTTGAGAACCCAAAATAGCACGGCGACTGGCTGAGATAAAAGATAAATTGCATCTGACACTTTTTGACATGCTGGTTTATATGAATTGATGGATTGTTATGAAGACTCCCTACAAGGCGACTCCTTTATAATCTATTCTGGTATCTTCGAGAGGCATAAATAATACAATTATTATTATTCTACTGAAGTCAGGCTGACCCACTGAACGTGCTCCTGGTTCCTCTTTACTTTAGCCACATCTTGAAGTTCCAAGCGGTAGATTGAAGTTTCCTGCACCTGATGTGACAGGTGGCATCAGGCATGAGAAAGGTGCACATTTCTTGTGTTGTGGGTTTGATAAAAAACCACACCGTCGTGATACTTAACCCAGCTTTATTTTGGCCAGTGCAGTGGCCTCTGGGGAAATGAATCCCACCGCCAGGACATGCCAACTTTTATAAACTTCCAACTTAACAGCGCTAAGCGCACCTTCACTTTCCAAATCACATAACGGGTTGCAATCCGTCAACCAACAGCAACCTTATCGGATGGAATGGAAAGCAGCGACACAGGGAAGACGCGAGGAAGAGTCGAGGCTGCAGATTCATTTTTCGGTGTCAGCAAATTCCTTCACGCTTCTTTGCCGAAATCTCAACTTTATCCTTTCTTGTAACGTCCTGTTTGCACTTTCTTTAGTTGCCTTTACGTCTTAGGCCAGTGGTTTTCAGCAGGGCAGGGGTGCTGCAAGCAACCCTGGCCTCTGCCCCTCTTTCCTTCCCTCCCTCCTCTGACGCCCTCTCGCATCTCTGCCTCCCAAAGGCTTGCACAGCTGTTTCTTGCAGCAGCCCTGGCTACAAGCTCCCCAGGCGAATGGTGCCCCTGGCGCTGGCCAGGGGGTGATGTTTGCCAGGAGCTGAGGTGCCCTCAGAGTAGGCAAGCAAGCAGGCAAGGGAGTTGAGCCAGCCAGTCCGCCAGCCCTTGCCCTTGGGAATGGACAGACAAGTCCCAGGCCCTTGTGGGGCAGTGTTAGGAGGCACCTCTCTTTGGGGCGGGGGGGGGGGCACAGACCAGGGGCGGCAGCAGCAGCTGCCCAGAGGACTCCCAAGGAGAGGGGAGAGGAGAGGCGGCTGAGGGAGGGTGTTTGAAAAAGGGTGAGGGGCTGCCAGCTCTGCAGGCAAAGGGTGACCTAACTGGACTCCTGAGCCCCACAGGGGGGCCACAGAAAGAAGGTAGTTGGTCAAGGGAGCTGTGGACTCAAAAAGGTTGAAAACCTCCGTCTTAAGCTATCGATACAATACGATCATCTTTATTGCCATTGTCCCACACAGAACAACAAAATTGAAAATCTGCATCAGACATTCAGAAACCAACAAGCCTGCTATCCCAGCCTGGTTAGCCCCCTAAAAACTCTGATACCCCTTAATTAAATACAATATACTCCCATAGAGACTACCTTATACTGCGTTTAAAACCAAAATCGCATTTGGATAGAAACTGTTTCTCAGGCGGCTAGTCCTAGTCTTTATAACCCTGTCCCTTCTTCCAGAAGGCAGAAGCTGAAAGAGATCATTTCCTGGGAGCGCACTATCCTGCGCTATCTCTGCAGCTTTCTTATAGCTCCTGGAAGCATAGATTTGATCCAAGGTAGGGTCCATCAATGCCGATACCATAACTTTCCCACTCCACTTGCCCAGAGCAAATGGGCAGGCTAGTCGCTAAGGCATGATAAGCCCTGTTGCCAAGTTCAAGGTGTTACTGTTTGTCTTAATAACTTAATAACTTGGGGCCAGTTACAGGTGCTGTTTATTCTACTGAGTGGATGCTCCAGCAATGGGTGCTTCATTCCAACAACTGCAGAGAGACTCACAGCTATCAGGAGACCATCTCTTCTCATTAGCTCCCCCTCATGAAACATCAGCTGAGCATCCTTCTCCGTCATAAACAATTAGATTCCCCAGTGCTCGATGAAGAGTTCTGCAAAGCCCACATCTTTCCCTTCTGTCATCTTCAGGACAAACAAAGCAATTGCTACAGACTCAGTAGTGTTCACGTTATTGATATAGCACTCAACAGACTATAACTGTGTCAGTCAGAGGAGGCACTGGGCAAGAACTGATTTATGTCATTGAGAAAAATAGATGTAATCTAGGCAGCAGAGTGTGGCGGAATTGGATGCCATTGTGCTGGAATTGAAACGGCCGTGGATGTGGAGACGCAGCAATGCTGCAAAATGAATCTGAAACATAATGGTTGCAAAGCGGAGCGCAGAGATATGTTGAGCCCGGCAATGCCGTAATAAAGGCACATATCATTATATGCTCTCTCCACATCCTTGAGCGAAGAGCTGGTCTCGGGCAGTGCTGCGGAGTCACTCAAATGATTCTAGGACCTAAGGAGGTCGTCTGGCGAAGGGTGAGAGTTCCAGGACAGACGATTTTGAAAAAGCAGCTAAGAAGCTTAAATCATATATATATATATATATATATTGGGGTGTGTGGGGGGGAATACAATTGTTGAAATAATTTGTTATGTGAGAATAACCAGTAAAAACTTAAAAAAGCAAAAACAAAACCAGAAGGGAGAGTTCTGCAAAAATGCAGAGTTGATGCTTGTTTGGCGCATGGGATTCAGTCCAGATATCATCCCCAATGGAAGTGAACGTAAGAACGTAAGAAAAGCTTTGCTGGATCAGGCCCATGGCCCACCTATTCCAGCATCCTGTTCTCACAGAGGCCTGTGGAAAATATGCAAGCAGGATCCGACCACAAGAGCAATTCTCCCCTCCTGTGGTTTCCTGCAACTGGGATTCGGAAGCAGTTCCTAGACGGAATCACTGACAAGGTAACTCTGTCTCCTACAAGTCTTACCATTTTGGTCTACCGGAGTGGTATATTGAAGAGGTCCTCTCTTGAGGGTCGGTCTCCCCTATTGTTGCTGCTCTCAGTCCGCAAACAAATCACAAATAATTACGACCCTCCCCCATTTGCATGGTTCCCCCCTTGCATTTAGATTAACGGAGTGGTATAACGTAATGACAATGAAATTTACATAACTTATGGAATGTGCCATTTTGCCACAGAAGACGGTGAGACGAATAGCGCAGGTTTTGGTGGAAACCAAACTGCAGCAGAACGGAAACATTGCTGCTTGCAATGGAAGTATGCCTTTGAACATCCCTAAACAGAATTAACATGAGTCAAGAAAGTCAGTCTTGTATTAATCATCAGAAAAAGGCCTTGCCTTGGGTGGTCTGAGGCTGATAAACCCAGCAAGGTACCTGCGTCACCTGGGAGTGTAGCCTTTGAGGGCAATGCCCATCCTGAATTTCTCCAGTCCTCCTTTGACACGAGTTACGGGGCTGACCTTGGTGCCTTCCTGAGATGGACGATGAGTTGTTGTACTCATTCGTTTCTGGTCCTGGGTG